TCTAGACAGCCAGATAGTATAAGGAAGAGGAACTCATTTCATTTCTAAGTTTGTTATTGATGACACACATCATAATGTGGGCAGCTCCCATCTCCTGAGCAGCTACACTTCTGGCCACAAGGAACAAAGTACACTTTAACATTTTACAGTTCATCTGCATACACAAAGTACACCTGAAAGTTTTACAGTTCATTTGCATACACAAAGTACACCTTAACATTTTACAGTTCATTTGCATACACAAGTACACCTGAAAATTCTACAGATCATTTGCCCATGCTGTAACCCACTAAAACCAAACAAGACCTTAGAGGGATAGGTGCCCTTAGCATCCCTCCTCCCCTTGGCAGTTCTTTCTGGTTTGCTCTCTCCCAAAACCCATACTGGAGAATTCTGGGCATGCATCAGTGCCTCCCAGTATCCCTGCCCTGCAATGCCAGTGTTAGAATGCCTGTATCTCTGGTGGATGCTGATGGTCCCATGAATTCCTTCAGTTAGAAGTTCAGTCTATATAGAAATTTGGCATTTCTCAGTTTAGTGAAAAAACCTTCCCCATAGTGTGTGACAATGTTCTTAAAAACCATGTTATGTACTTTGATGTAATATTTTATGTTCCAAAAATCCCACACGTTTTTCCCAGAAAGTCAAGATCTGATGACCCATTCAAATGTGTTTTAATCTTATTTCTGTTTCTTTGCTGTCTCTGTGTCTTCTAGACATCCCAAGTTCATGAAAAAGGACCAGATGGGTAGCCCCTATCTGAGCTGCCATTTCAGAACTTCATTGGGGGATTTGAATGGCCTGTGCTAACCAACTGATCTGTGTTGGGTGAGGACATATTTGGGAGCTCAGGGAGAGAGAGGCACATTTGTTTCTTTTTCTTCATTAAAAATGGGTCCACTTAAATGGGCTCTTAAAATTCTGCTAAAATTACCACTGACAAGTCACATTATATATTTAATCCATATCTCTTTTAATGACAAAACAAACCAAAAAAACCTCAATACTTTTCATATAGCCATAAGTACCTATATTGCAGTTATTTTAGACTCCTTCTAGACTCTAGATCATTCCATATACATGGGACATTCAATTGACTCCCCAGAGAATGCCAGCCTTGTTCTTGAACCTCTGACTCAGTGTTATGATGGCCTCAACCTCCTTTGCTGCCTCTTTGTCTCATGCCTTCAGCTCTCTACCTGCTGGCTTAGGTGTTGGTCTGTTTTCCTCTTGCCTAAAACATCATTAGCTTCCCATTTCCCAGGGGATGAATTCATTTCTTGAAGCGCTCATTCTTGTGAATCCCCAAGTTCATGCTCTCACAAACTGCAGAAATGGTGATGGGTTCTTATTACTGCTTTCCTGACCTGGCAAGCCCTTCTGGTTTATGTATTGCCCATCCAGGTTCACCACAGGGAGGGACCATCTTGTGCTCACCTTCTATGTGTGAGCAAGGTTTCTTGACTGTGCTCATACAGTTATTCTGACATGTATGAATGAATAGCCCATTAGTTCAGCCTTGCTATTAGCATGCTTAATTTGAGTTAGCAGACACAGGGAACCAATGGATGGCAACCCTTTATTTCTTTATGTCCCTCATTTTAGCTAATCAACCTATTATATCACAGGCTCACCTTTCTTCCCAATGTTACCTACACCCATTTCTTCACTGAGTCCATAAACTAAGCATCTTCTAAAATCCTCTTTCTGGTAAGATAAACAGAGCTAAAAGGCTCTTGTAGAATGCATTCATAATCACTGTTTTTTACATAACTTCTAAATTTTATGATTTTTCATTTTACCTTTTACCACTAACTTTGTTAAATTAATTTAAATGTTTTAAGTTTACTGAGCTATGTCTTTGTCTATGTTCCCAAATGCTTCAAAGTTTTCTTAATACTCAATCAAAAAACTTTGGCCTATGGTGAGATGAATGGGAACTTTGGTGGTCTTTTGCTACCCCATGTTGCACAATGGAGGATGGATCCATTGGCAGGGTTTCTCTGCAAAGAGCCAAGCTAGAAACATGTTTAGGGTGTGTGGATCATATGGCTGCTGTCAGAGACATTCCACTCTGTAGTTATAGCTTGAAAGCAGCCACAACAAATAAGCAAATACATTATTAAGGCTAGTTGCCATTATAAATTCGTTTACAGAAACAAACATCCCAGGACAGGGGTTGTCAACCCCCCCCCAAGTTGTTTGGAGAATTGTTTTGGTGCGAGAAGATTGGGTCAGACTTTGTTCTGGGACCGAATGTTCCCATTACACAGTCCCAAGTGATGCTTCAAAGGCTTGTGCCATGCCACATCCTAGGCTTTTTCCCTGGGCTTTTGTCAGAAGCAGAAGCTGAGATTATATAAAGCTTCTTGTGCTTCCATAACGATGCTCTGAGCTCATATCAGGACTAGCATCCCTGGTGACCCGGAAACTTCTTGGTGCTGCTGTGGCATAAAGAGTGAGGCCTTATAAAGGACTATTAGGATCTTGAGTGGGAGGACAATGGTAATGACCTCCCCAGGGACAGAATCAGTGTAGCTGGTGAAATTTAGAGCAGAAATACTCATAATATTAAAAATTTTGAGTAAGGCATTTGGGAAATGGAACATTAGCCTGGAGGCCTTCACTGGGATTTCTTTCTGTTCTCATTGCATGGAATGTATGGACTCCTGGAAATGTACACATTGGATTGCAAGTGAGGAAAAGTCAGTACAAAAAGAACATGTAAAAACAATATGCATAAAGCCTGTTGTTCAGTATTCAGCCAGTGTTTGCTGAATAACAGATTAGGATGAACAAGTATCCTAACCATCAGAGAGAGCGAAACCAAACTGACTGCTCTCATAGAGCCTGTACTCTTAGTGAATGGCACAGGTATTTGAGGATCAAGAAGATATAGACAATGAAATGCTTGAAGTAAATGTAATAGAATATTTTTTAAATAAATAGGTTTGCTTTAAACATACTTTTCCTCCTTTATCTTGTTATTACTGGTTTTCTTAGGAAGAGAATATTCTGATAATTTTTCTGAACCAAAACTGAGTGCCTACTTTTTACCAATGCTACCAGGGTGTACTGGCTGGTTTTGTGTCAACTTGACACCAGCTAGCGTCTTCAGAGAGGAAGGAGCCTCAGTTGAGGAAAGGCCTCTATGAGATCCAGATGTAAGGCATTTTCTCAATTAGCAATCAATTCAGAGGGCCCAGCCTATTGTGGGTGGGGCTGTCCCTGAGTTGGTGGACCTGGGTTCTAAGAAAACAGGCTGAACAAATCATAGGAAGTAAGCAGCACCCCTTCATGGTCTCTGCATCAGCTCCTGCCTCCAGGATCCTACCCTACTTGAATTCTTGTCCTGACTTCCTTTAGAGATAAACAGCAATGTTCAAGTATAAGCCAAATAAACCCTTTACTCTCCAACTTGCTATTTGTTCACAGCAATAGATACTCTAAGACACAGGGATACATAAAATCTGAACAAAACTTCTAAACATCCCCTCCCTCAAGGAGCCTCATTCTGGTGGGAAAGATAGAACATACAATTGATAAGTCAAATTTATAGCAAGACATTATGGCTCATGCCCTTAATCCCAGTACTTTAGAGACAGAAGCTGGAGGCTTCTGGTTTCCAAAGTGAATTGTAGGCCATCCAAGGCTACAGAGTGAGACCTTGTAATAAATAACAAACAAATAAATAACAGAAAGGAGGGAGGGAGAATGGGAGTATGTCAGGAAATCAGATCTTTAGAGCATTAGAGGGTACCTCAGAGGCAAAAGTGAAGGAAGAATCCAAGATCCGAAATGTTGGGAGAGGCAAAGATTTAGAATGGGTGGTCAAGAAAGACTCCTTACATATGTGGCTTTAAAAATAAAATGGTGGTGGGTATTTTATTTTTATTTTATGCCTTTGGGTGTTTTGCTTGTATGTGTATGTCTGTGTACTGTGTGCATGAGTTTTCTGTGGAGGCCCCAGAGGAGGCCTGTAGATCTGGTGTGAACAGTTGTGAGCTAACTTGTGTGAGCTGAGAAAGAACCCAAGTCCTCTGGAAGGGCAGTCAGGGCTCTTAACCACTGACCGGTTTCTCCAGCCCCATGGGTGGCCTTGATTAAATGCTTAACAAAAATGAATGAACGGGCTAGCAGTGTTACGGTAGAGGGGGAGGTCGTTCCAGCTGAGCAGTCTGCAAGTTTGAAGCCTCAAGACCTGGAGTGTTCAAGAGACATCAAGAAAGCCCAGTGTAGTAAGTGAAGGAGAGAGCAATGAGGAATGAGGTAGATGATGCTGACAGAAGACTGGATCAAACCTCGTCTCTCAAGTCAATGGGATGTTGAATCCCATTCTGAGAAGACATTGAAGATTTTTGAGCAAAGTAGAAAGATGGTCAAGCTTACTTTACGATAATTCCTTAGTCAAGAATACACAACAGGTACAAGAGGCCTTGTAGGAGGCCATGTCTGTAATCTAGGTGAGGTGTCAAGCCTCTCCAGATGTGCTGAGTCAGAGGGAAGGCAGACACTTGGCAGGAACCAGTGCCCCACAGGGTCTACCTATCCCCTGAGTGAGATTTCTCTGGAGCATGGAACATTAATTAAGCCATGGATTGACCATTGTCTTCACATAAAAGAGAATTATCGTGTCAGATTCATAATAGCTTAGTGATTAACTCTTGTGAAACCAAAGTGAATATGAACCATATTTGCTTCATAGCAGCCTCCTTTGACCAAGCTGTCCTGCCAATGTTTTATTCATTCGTCCCTTGCCACATATATTTTATTTATGAATTCACATATTTATACTATTTTAATAGTCTAAGAATGCTTCTGACTCCCATGGTGTTCCTTAAATTAAAATGGCAGAATAATAATGATTCCACCAAAACATTTTTTCATCTCATACTTTTATGAAAAGTACTATCATTGTGTTTTACTATTCTAAGGCTTAAGATTGATTATAACTGGAAAATGTTCTTTTTCTTTTCTTTCTTTTCTTTTTCTTTTTTTAGGGAACAACTCAATTCTTTACTGGAGGCTTATAATGTTTTCTATGAAAAGCAGAAAAATCTGCATATTTTGTATGGACAGGTAAGCCCACTAAAGAAATGCAACAGTTTGATTTCACAGGAAACAGATTCTATGAGCATGTAGCCGAGTCAGGGTCATCTGAAATCTAGAACCTGGGGACATGGGTGGTCTAAATAAGCAGGTAAATCTCTAACTCATTCTGATTTTCATGTTTAGACTAATTCACAAAATAGCAGGCCTGGAATGACTACAAGTTACTAAGTATTTTTGGAGCAGGAAAGCATATAAAAACAATGTTAATGATACATTTGCCTTTTGTTTTAAAATGGAATATTTCTCAAATAGTGGATGATGTTATGAACTTTCTTACATTCAAAGCAACATGTGTGTGGAGAGGTGTACACTGTGACACCATTTGCAATGAGAGAATATGATGGTATCTTTGTATCCACCAGTGTGATATTATTATAGCAAATCATACTGGATACATAAGGGCCAGTTTGATTTGTTCATTAAAATGAATAAGCTGAGTTCCAATGAATACATGCTATCTCATAATGTCAACAGTTTTAAAATGTTACAGAAATAGTTTGGTAATTTCAATTTCCTAAAAACTGGCTTTCCATAATAACCAATGATTTTATAATATAACTTTCTAGTTTCTATACTCTCAAAGTTTCTCTAACGATACATTACTTCAATAAAAAGATATTTAACATATAAATTGAAAATAAATTGTATGAGAATTGCTCTGTTCCTAACATTTCTGAGTATATTTGCAAAATACATATATATCCCTGTTGGCTAATTTTTCTTCACTTACACATTTACTCCTTTTGTTATACTACTTCTATTTTGAAGGAGTACTTCAAAAACTATTAATTTTTTCACACATATGTTCTTAATTTGTGTGTGTTTTTTATGTGTGTGTTGCATGCACATAAGTATACAAGCATACATACCATGTTCACACTCAAGGAGGCTAGAGAATGGTGTCTCTGGCTATCATTCCTCTCTTCGCTTTGAACCAGAATCTCTCACTGAAATGGAAGGTTGCTGCTTTGAGCTTAGCCATTCAGTGAGCTGTTGGACCAGCCCCCAATTCTGGGGTCATGCCAGCCTTTTACACAGGTGCTGGGAATTTGAACTCAGGTTTCCCCTGTTCTGCTTAGTATCATATAGTATGTTTTCATATGCATCTTTTTTCTTTTACTGAGATGAAATCTCAGTGTATAGCCCTGGCTAGCCTGGAACTGTATTCTAGCTGGTATCCAGAAATCTTTCACTGGCCTCCACCTCTTTGCTGATTTTAAAGATGTGTGACACCACCATCCCTTAATAAACAGTCTTTCTTTTGTTCAATATAATTTTATGGGTTAAATTATTATTTAAACAGAAATACTTTCTAATTCCTAATTCAGTACAGTTTTTAAATCTGCAATACTTTTGAATTAAATGGAGCTAAGCAATATAATGCCACTTAGTCTAAGAGCCAGAGCTCAAAGAGCATTTAATACACTGTGACCATTGGTGGATATGCCAAGGACACTGTGGCTTATTTTGCCAGGTATACTGTTTTAAAAATAAAAGGCTATTTCAAAATTAGAATTGTTTTATTGATATGCATAGAAGCCAAATAATTCAACCCAGGAGATGTTTAAACCTAGAAATATCTCCTACAGACTTATTTTATACATCTTTACTTAAAGCATTTAGCTTTCTATAAATGATGCAAAAACAATTACTGTGGGTAATGGCTTCGTCCTTAGGCTGAAGATGGACAACTGATTGTTGAAGGGATGCTAGACATTTTCTGGGGAGTAAAACGACCCATACAGTTAAAAATACAAGATGAGAAGCAAATATCTTCATTTGATCTGTTGAAGTCAACAGAAGCATTTTCCAGCAAAGGGTAAGTTGTCCTCCCTTGTAATTCCTCAGATGGCTCAATGTCTGCCTTTGCTGTGTGTGTTCTTAGCACAGGTTGCTTACCGCTGTGCATGAACGTTATAGGCAATCTCATACCATCCCCATTAACTGGGTATTTGGAAACCATGTCTCCAAAGTTAGGGGAAATTGTGCAGGACCTGGCAGGACCAGAAGGACCTTTGTTCCATGGGCTCCAGAGTCTAGGTTTGTGGGCCCTTCCACTCCATTGTGTCTCCCAAAGACTGCATTTGCTCACTGGAAGAGACAAGGCACAAAGGTAAGGTTTGAATAGTCACAGCTTGACCTTCAAAAATTGGGAAGAAAACTTAAATTTGTTCACTCCTTGAAACACAGGACTCTTGTTTTCTTGAGAGGAGACTGAATTGTGCTCATACTCAGAACAAGCAGAGCTGTTTAGCCAAGTACAGCGAAGTGAATTTGAAGTTCATTACACAGAGAAGTTTCTTGTGTGGGTAGATGCAACTGTACCATGGATGTCTGACTTTGGTGGCATTTTGTCATTACCCTTTATAGTTTTTCTTGAAAATTAATAATTATTCTAAATTATACTCATAAATGGCTCACTTCCTTTTTTCTCCATCTTCATTCCCACCTCACCTCCCTTCTGACACACCTGGACCACTGCAATTCTCTTCATACCTCCTGTCCTCCCATCCAAAAAAGGAAGAAATTAGGGTTCTACTGAGAAGAAATGGAGAGCCAGCTACCAGGGTGACACATTTTAGTAGTCTGATCTTTGTCCACTTTTAAGGAAAGTTAGGTATCACCCTGGAGAATATACCCATGTCCCACCATGATTTTTACCTTTCCAATGTGTGCCTTAAACAAGGCTGAACATTTTGTAATGCCGTAAACACATCATGCAATTTCTTAATTTCCTCACTCTGCCTAGAAGCCCAGAAGCCAGCCTATATCAATGGTCAGTCAAGACTTGCCTCTAATAAATTTGACTCAATGTCCTGAAAACCTTCCATGGTCTCCTAATCCATACTGAGCACACTGACAACTTTTCTCTATCACCTCCAGGCCACACAGTTGGTTGGACGTTTGCACATCCTGTCTTCCATCACCAGTGTGAGTTTCTAGCGACATATCTTGAATTGTGCTTATATCCCAGTGCCCAGCACAAAGAGGAAGATGGGGGAGGAAAGAAAGAGGAGTGAAAGGGGGAGAGAAGGGGATGGAGAAAGATAAAGTGGGATATAGAATTATGATAGATGGAGAAAGAAGGTATGAATAAGGGGGAATAAGATCAAATTAAGTCCCCAGAAACCTGTAAATAAATTACACTTGCTTTGTGTGATAACCACCTCGCCCCATCAGCGGTTCCTCACTAGTTTCCCATCCACGATAAGGGCTGCTGGTGGACACAGGACATGGTACTTATGAGCACAAATGGGACCACAACCTCAGTCAGCCTATGATGCCCAGCATCCCAGCATGCCATAGATACAAGATGACTGACAAGGCTGATCACTCAGATGACTGGAAACAGCATTTAAAAAGTATCTAGCCAGCCTGGTGGTGGTGGAGCACTCCTTTAATCCCAGCACTCAGGAGGCAGAGGCAATCGGATCTCTGTGAGTTCCAGTCCAGCTTGGTCTACAGGGTGAGTTCCAGGACAGCTAGATTAGTTACACAGAGAAACCCTATCTCAAACACCCTGCCCCAAAAGAATGGAGCTTTGCTTTAAAAACAACAGCAGCAGCAGCAGCAGCAAACAAACAAAAACAAAAACCAAAACTATACATGATATAAATTCACAAAATTAGCAATTGTATTTAACATCTTCCTAAGAACTCATGACAAAGTTCTTTGGGAAGCCAACACCTTTTGCTGTATTTTAATTCTTTTGGGTTCGTTAAAACTTTGTTAAGTATGAGGCCCAGGAGGTAAAAGGCACTTATACTGGTATGTGAAGCTATTATTATCTTAATAGCTATTCAGAGATATGTTTTAATTTCTCAAATTCAAAATACTAGTTTTGAACTAAAAATACTGAAATTGTGGGTAAGTTTTAGGAGCTAGGCTGGGGCTAAGGCAATATTGACTCTTTCATATGCTGCTTTCATAGTCTGCTGACTATCAGCTGTCATCCTCACACTGCATCGTCTGCAGAGCCCATTTTCACTGAGAGTGTTGCTGGTATATTAGGAGCCCTTCTCCTCACCTCACCATGGCCGAACATGACAGAAACAGCACAGAGGAGGGGAGGGTTATTTGGGCATGGTAGCTGAAGGGACTCTGTCCATAGCAACAGGGGCTTGAGCCATAGTTTGTTCCTATTTCAGCAAATCAGGAAGCAGGGAGCTCTGATCAAGATGTCTTCAAGGTCTGTCCCCGCAGTGAGCCACTTCTGCAAGCTAAGTCACAGTGTCAACAACTCCACAGCACTACCAGTTGGGGTCCACATGAGCCTATGGAGTGCATTTCATGTTCAAGCCTTAACAGCCCAGAAGTAAGACCGAAGTTATTTCTCCTTTAAAATTGAGAAAATGCAAGACAACTGCAGAAGCCTGTGACCGTGGTAACCAGACATGACTAGAACACTGCTATTGGCATGTCCTTTACCACAGTAGCCAGACTTTCTAGAACACTGTCTAGAACACTTGTGCTGCGAACCATATCTTTCTAGTGAGTAAAAATTAGCAGGAAGAAACCCCACCTCTTATGCATACAATGCAGACTGCCTCTGTCTTTGTCTCTGTCTCTGTCTCTCCTTCTCTCTCTCTCTCTCTCTCACACACACACACACACACACGCACACACACACACACACACACAGAGAGAGAGAGAGAGAGAGAGAGAGAGAGAGAGAGAGAGAGAGAGAGGCATGATAGCATTATTTGGTTATGGTTGGTTAGTCAAGAGGGCCTTGTGCAATCAGCTGAGCTTTCAGGCAGGAAGGCAAGACACCAATGGAATGGCCTTCCCTGGCTTCTACCCTGACAGTGCAGACTCACTCTACACTGTTTCCTGGCTGCAGTTCCTTTTCAGGTGACTGAATTTAAATTCTTCACCTCAACTAACTTTCTCTCATTTTCCTTTTCCCATACTGTTGTTATCCATGGACAGGACTTAACATCACTGCTCAGATCTGCTGTCCCCCATGGGTTAGTGGACAGTGAAGGACATGGACAGTGTGTGACCAGCTGCAAGGACTCCGGCTGAGCACCTGTCCATTCATGTTAGTTTGTTTTAATCGTGTTAGAAATGAGTCACACTGAGGAAGTACTAGCCAAATGGGAAGGGTAGAGTCTTAAAAAGTACATCGGTTTATTTGAGCTCTGGCCACTTGTGTGCATGGAAATGACCCTATGGGAGGACTTTGATCTCTCAAATCTCAGACAAATGTTTTATTACAGAAATTGTGTGTTTAAAATGAAACAGACAGAAAGTACCTCACCGGGGTTACTTTTGCTGGTTTTTCATTTCTATCTTAATATCTTTCTAAAGTCAGTGTTTGGCATATTTTAGACAAGCCATGGCAGAATGAAATAAAGAAGCGAACAGGTTCACAAGAAGTGAACAGGTGCATAGTTGATTTGCATCAGTAATGTTTTTTTTTTCTTGTGTTTATAGATAGGGAAGTGACTGCATTTTATTTGTCTATCAAATTTCTACCTCCATTTTATTTTGCAAACATTACAAGCCCTCTCCAGTGTTTAGATTTGTCCCTGTTAAACTTCCTGGTGCTTGGTCAAGCAACACAAACTATTCCATGTTTGAACATGTTCAACCATTTGATGTTAAGGTTCTAACCAGTTTTGCTTGAAAAGTATGGACAACTGCCCTTAAACTTAGTCATATCCACAGTATATAGAATGGTTCTTGAATTATACAATCCCAAGCTATGAAGTAGTTATTTTTGACTTCAGCAATGAGTGGCATGAAAGAAAGAGGCAAAATGAATATATTGAGCTTTTTATTCTTTTTCTCTTTTTTTTATTAATTTAGTTTTTACATTCCAATCACAGCTCCCCTGCCTCTCCCATCTGCTCCTCAGAGAGGGTAAGGCCTCACCTAGGAAGTCTACTAAATCTGTCCCATCATCTCATTGAGGTAGGACCAAGGCACTTCTCCACCCCCCTCACACACCTCTGTGTCTAGGCTGGGCAAGGTATCTCTCCATATAGAATGGGCTCCATTAAGTCAGTTTGTGCATTAGTGTTAGGTCTTGGACACACTGCCAGTGGCCTCATATATTGTTCCAGTCACACCATTGTCACCTATGTTAAGGGAGTCTAGTTCAGTCTTATGCAGGTTCCCCATTTGTCAGACCTGAGTCAGTGATCTTTCACTAGCTCAAGTGAGCTGATTCTGTGGGTTTCCCCACCATGGTCTTGACCTTTTGTTCATATTATTGCTCCCCACTCACTTCAATTGTACTTTAGGAGCTTGCATTGGGTAGTTGTGGATTTCTGCATCTTGTTCCATGTGTTTCTGGATGAGGGTTCTAGCTTCTATGGGGTGTGGATTGTAGGCTGGGTATCTTTTGCTTTATGTGTGGTATCCACTTATGAGTGAGTACATACTATATTTGTTTTTCTGGTTTTGGGTTACCTCACTTAGGGTGTTTTTTTTTTTTTTTCTAGTTCTGTCCATTTGCCTGCTACGTACTGAGCTGATTTTTAGCCCCTGTGTTTATGTGGCACCACTATTACCACAAGAAGTTAAGGAAACTGAGGGGGTGGCTATCACATTTGCCAGAGTCACTGACCAGCTGTGGGGATCATAAGTGGTCACTTTTGTAGAACTTCTGTTCCTCCTGTTGGAAACAGCACCTGGTTTCTTTGCATTTAGTTTTAACTTCTCATTGGTATTCAATTCCCATTACCACCCCTCTTTCAGTAGTGATTAAACATGACTACTTTAGATTGCTAATATGCTGTTTATTGGAGAAAATGTTTACTTTCATGAGCCATATGGATAGGGTGTGAGTAAAGAACTGAACTGCTAATACAAATAGTTCCTCTATTTCATGACATGTATTTTGACTGACAATATTTCCACATAGTAGAATTTGTTCAAAATCTTATTAACAAATATATTATGGTCATATTATCTACTTTGTATGTGTGTTGTAAATCAAACAGAAGAAGAGTTATAAAAGACTTCAAGAGAATTCCAAGATCAAGAGGAAAATAGTAGCTTTGCTTTGCCAGTGCCTTCAATTAGTGTTTATAAGATGTTTTTCATCAGTATGTTGATTATTTTTCTTTTGTTATGATAAAATGTCATGACAGAAAGCAACTTAAGGAAGGAAAAGTTTATTTGGGCTTTTGATTCTGAAGGGATAGAGTCGATGGCAAGGAAGGCATAGCACTATAGGACTATAGGAACAGGGAGCTGGCTGGTCACACTGTAGTGCACACACAAGTAGCAGGTAAGAAAGAGAGAGAGAGCAGTATAAGGCTACAAATCCCAAAAGCTAACTCAGTGATACCCTTCCCCCCAAAAGACTCAACTTCATACACTTGCTGTAACTTCCCCAAACCAACAGAGGACCAAGTCTTCAAATTCATGAACCTTTGGGGACATGGTCATTCAAACCACCAGTCAGGGACATTTGGGTAGAATTAAGGTCAGAGATGCCCCAGGTGTAAATATTTGGGGTTAATACTATAAAGGATTTTATGGAAGAAACTCAAAGTACAACAAAAAACATTCCTGAAAATAGTAGAGTCCATTTGCCTAGGGAGATTCAGAAATGCACTAGACCCCAAATTGTACCTGATCCATCATGAAATGAATTCAGATGGTGGTGATTACAATGAAGATGATGATGGTGGTGGTGATGGTGGTAGTGGTGATAACTGTGGTAGTGATGATGGTGATGTCGATGGTGATAATGGTGGTGGTGGTGATGATGATGGTGGTGATGATGATGGTGATGATGTTGGTGGTGATAATGATTGTGGTGGTGATGATGCCAGTGAAGATGATATTATTCAGATAGTATTTTAGATATATACTGAGTGTTTAACTATATTTAGGGCATTATTTCAAAATTGTTAAACATTAAATAAATAAACATATTAAATCCCACCAATAATTCTACCTCATACTATGATTATTCCCATTCTACAAATGAGGACACTGTGGGCAAGAAAGGCTATGTAACTAACTTGTTTAAGACCAGATAAATAAAATCAAAGTGAATGTTAGTCTGCTGTAACATAAACAGTTGTCATGATTCATGTATTCTGGACAAGAGAATTTTTGAAACTTGATAATATTCTACATGAGATAATATTTTTCTAGTGAATAATTTTTTTCAGATATTTTATTTTTGCAAATTGTATTTTCAAAGCAGTTCAGCCCTTAAACATAAGTACCATATCTTATCATGTTAGGGTCACTTTCTATAATTATTTTAATGCTGTAGATACTTATCCATGATTGTAAATGACAGTTTTGAGTCTAAACTTCCCTAAAACCTTAGGAGATATCCTTGTGTGTCAGTGACTCATACTGGTTTCTACCCATCCTTTCTTAGAATACATTTTACAGAATCTATGTAATTTTACATTTCAGTATTTAGCTGAATTATTTTGCTCCAAAATATACAGATTGTGTTTAAAACATGCCTACACTGTAGTATGAATGTAATCTTTGTAACATTGTAAACTTGTTTTAAATTTGGATAACACATCTACCTACAGATGCCCACAGCTACAGAATCAACATTGTAAATCTGAAACCCATCACATGGAATTAGTCTCAGTGACCGGATTTTTTTACTTTTCAGGGGGATGACTCGCTGGGGAGAGTTTGATGACCTTTATCGTATCAGTGAGCTGGATAGGAGCCAAGTTTTGCTGTCCGAAGGCAGGCATTCCTCGGAAGGTCAGTATCAGAGTGTTATTATCAGCATGGTGTTATTCTAACAACATAAAGTATGACTCCTAAATATTTGCCTCTTACACAGTATTGCTTGATGAACTCATATATGTGTGACAGTGTTGCTTATGCAGTTCATTACTGGTGGCCACCAGCCCAAAGCATATTGCTGCTTTGCTTTCATGAAATTTAGGAATAAATTCTCTTAAGTCTCTGTACTCCATGAGAATGACTTCTCAAGAATGCTTCACTAGTTTCAGAGGGGAACTAAGACCCAAGATCTGTCTTCTTAGGAAAGGGCTGCTAAGCTTGGCTTCGGGACAAAACAGAGGTACAGGCCTGGTCCGTCACCTGGAAGTACTGTATTCATAACAAAGCTACTCAGCTCATCATGCTTTTAATCTTGCCTGTCTGAGTCCAGACTGACAGAAAAACAGGTTTTTCCAGTTCATCCAGGCTAAAATTGTGAATGATTTGCACCCCCAATAAAGTGAGATTAAAAGAGTAGAAACCTGAATCATGTGATCACATAAGTTCTATGAGATATAACTTGCAGCGTTTGTGGCCTGACCAATCTCACACAGCATTTACTAAGTCAGTATAAGCCAGGCAGTGAACTACAGTGCTTTGAAACTGCCAGGAAATAAGTCACCCTTGTTAATGAATGCATACCAGTGTCCCTATGATGCAAGAAGATAGGCAGCTAAATGATACCAGCTTGTGGTCTTTATTCTTCCCAGACTATTTATCTTATCACAGCACTCTGAAGCCATATGCAGATGAAGAACCAGCATCCCCTCTGCTCTATAGGACCATGAGTGAAGCAGCTTTGGTGAGAAAAAGGATGAAAGCTTCAGTGATGTACAGAAAAGACAGGCAGGACCACAGAGCCTCTATCAACGGACACTTCTATAACCATGAGGTAAATTACAGTTCCGTTGATGCAGAGTGATGTTGTCCATTACACTAGTAATACAATTATTTCAATTTAGAATTCAAACCAATAATAATAACAATGTTAGCAGATGCCTAACACTCATCAATCTTTCCTTGTTGTAACTCATCAACTAAGTTTAAATACAATCTTGTTCATGTCTTTGTTTAGCACAGATTTAAATTAAATAGCATGCATAGTACCGGCTCAGGTACTGAAAATGGGGGAAGTACATAGGGTCCCAAACCTATAAAATAAGCTATTTGCAAATAATATCCACTGACAAAGGGAAAATCCATTTTCTTCAATGGAGTGTCACTATGTATATCAACACATTCCAAGGCAGGTCCCATGCCCAGGGAGTAGTTGGCCATTTTTTTTTTTTAATGTGTCTTTGTGTTTTGCCTACATGTCTATCTGTCTGTCTGTATGAGGGTGCAAGGTCTCCTGTAACTGGAGTTACGGACAGTTGTGAGCTGCCATGTGGGTGCTGGGAATTAAACCTGGGTCCTCTGGAAAATCAACTAATGTTCTCAACTGCTGAGCCATCTCTCCAGCCCCCCATTTTGCCAGGGAGGTATTTCGTTAGGAAATTTTTTTGTCTTATTGGCTTTTTAGGTTTATTTGTTTTGACTTCTGTTTTGAGGTTTTTATGTTTGTTTGTTTGTTTTTCCTGTTATTTGAGAGAGAATGAGAAAGGAACAGAACATGAAATTGGGTGGCTAGGAATGTGAGGAGATCTGGAAGGAATTGGGAGAGGGGAAAGCAAGATCAAAATATATTGTAAGACACCCACAGCTAAACACTGAGCCAAACTCCTGGAATCCAGTTGCAGAGAGCGAGGCATCATAAGAAAAGGGGTCAAGACCAGGCTACAGAAACCCACAGAGATAGCTGACCTGAACAAGGGGGAGCTCATAGACCCCCAGACTGATAGCTGGGAAACAAGCATTGAACAGACTCAGACCCCCTGAACATGAGTCTCAGTTAGAAGGCCTGGACAGCCTAAGGGACCTCTGACGGTGGAACCAGGATGTATCCCTGGTGCATGAAAGGACTTTGGGAACATATCCCCCATGGAGGGATACTCCTTTAGCCTAGAGGCAGGAGGGAGGGCCTAGATCCTACTCCAAATGACTTGACAGATTTTGATGATCTCTCCTGGAAGGCCTCACCCTCACTGTGGAGTAGGTGGGGAAAGGGATGGGAGGGGATCCGGGGGCATGGGAGGAAGGGGGGAAGAGGGAACTGTAAGAATATTAAAATATATTTAAATAAAAAAGAGAAGAAAGATTAAAAAAAGAAAAAAAAGAAAAATTTTAAATAAAAAAATAAATAAATGAATTAAATAGCCCTGGATTGTCAGGTACTTGCTATAGAGCCCCAGCTGGCCTCAAAGTTAACTTCCTTCTGCCTGAGCCTCCCAAGTGCTAAGACTGTAGACATACACACCTAACTTTGAGCATATTTAAATAAATTATCTCATCCTCAAAGCTCTCCTATGAAGGCCAGTATTGTTATTTTTTTCTTTACATATAACCAAAACTCACAGACATTAGCAATCTCTTGAGTCACATTGCTTTCAACAAGAATTCTGAACTTGAACACATATTTGTCTCCCTCCAAAACTCAAATTATTAACCAGTGTGGTAAATGAGTCCCAGCTTGGGGCTGGGTGCTGAAGTGACCATTTGAAATACACAGATGAGCTTCTGGAGGTGTAGTTACAAAGCTTAAACAGGAAAGCCCACACACCTACAAACAACATCCGAATCTCACAAATCAGGCTTGCACAGAGATTAGTTTAAAGACATTCAAATTGTTTATTTCACCCAGTCATGCATCACATCTCCATCCTGCCCTTTAGGTCTTCTACTTACCCATGCAGGCTCAGGATACAGACCACTGTGGCCTGACAGAGTAGTAAGGACTGATATGATTTTGTTATTGTTCTTTTAGACATCTATTTTCACCCCAACCTTTGGATCAGAAACTAAGGTCAGAACAAATAGTACCATGAGAACTGAAGAAGTGATAAAGCAACTTCTCCAAAAATTTAAGGTAATCTTTATTACTAACCTGGGCTATACCATGCATAGAAGTAAGCTGATGGAGACATATAAATGCACTCTTCTGGAAAAAAAAAAAAAGCCATGGACTATGGACCAACATCGTATGTTCAGTTCTGGTGGATCTTTCCTCAGAGCAACAAAAGCCTGGAAATTCACACGGTCCCCCAGGAGACATGTCTGAAAGTGAAGGAGCACGTGGGACACTGCTGATACTTTGGGTCTAACATCATCTGGAACAATCACATTTATTCATTTTTCCCTATTGACAGATTGAGAATAGCCCGCGGGATTTTGCTCTTTACATTATTTTTGGAACTGGAGGTAAGAAAATCTGGTCTCTCTTTGTTCTTGGATCCAGTTTTTAGTCTATAAAGAAGATAGAAGAGTGCTTGGTTCTGTCAAAGTGGGGGAGGGGGACAGAGAACACACAAGAAAGGAGAGGCAGGAAGACAAAAAAGGGTTCATTATAAATGTTATTCACAGAGTTCGGGTGCAAGCTAAACACACATTAAAACCACTGAGCTACACTCCCATCCTGGAGAAATGGTGCTAGAATATCATGGATCTTCTCCAATTCCAGTTATAAACTTCAAATAGTTTATAATACAAAGGACTTTGCTTGTTTGCCAGACTTCCTCTGAGTGGGGATCAGAACTCGAGGAACCCATCCTGCTGGCTTTCCAGGAGGTGCTGGACTCCTTGTCTGTCACCTCTGTACTTGTTTCCTTCTCCGCTCCCTGCCTTAGCTCTTGGCTTCCTCACTGCATGCCACTCCTCGCTGACGTCCTTAGTTTTTGCTCTTTCTTGTTTGGCACTGTTCTGACACATTGTAAGAAAATGAGTCCTCCCTCGGTAGAGAACATCGTCGGAATTGGGCGGGGGAGATATATGTTCTCAGAAATCGTTCCGAATCATCGTTGAAGCAAGAAGCTAGGGAATGTAAAATATGGAAGCAACCGAGGGTGTGAAAGCAAGTTGGCATTAGACAAAGGTCAGGAGAGGACTCTGCTGTGCCCAGGAGAGGAGCACAATCATGAGGGCTTCCTGTTGCTTCAGAATTGCGAGTGGAATGAGCACACACTGACTTGGAATGGACAGGGGAATAAATTGAATCCAGAGATGAGAAAGAGAAACAGGGAGTTGGGAAAAGAAGATGAACTGAAGGACATCGGGGGCTTTTCTGTGTGCTTCTTTTTATTGAAATAAAATCCCAGATGGGCGCCCACTTTGACAAAATGCCAGTACTTTTGGGGAGGGGCATTTATGGTAATGTTTTAAATTTGAAATTCTGAGAATACAACAGTATTTTTTGTCTCGTTTTCATGGCTGAATGAGTGAAACCCATAAGTAATGAAGAGGACTAATCTTACTAATTCTGCATTTGTAGTTTAGTTCTTGGAATGCCCAAAAATTGAATGTGAGGTAGAAACAAAAGGAAGAATTAAGAACAGATATATAAATTGATTTATATTAACCAAACTTGGTAGTAAATATTTTTGAGTAGATGAATGAAGGAAGGAAGGGAAAATTATAAAGAATTGAGCCGTGTTGCTCCCTCAGTAGGACTAGAGCTCTGGCTAAATGATCTAACTGAAAGGTAGAATTATTTGAGCTACGAAACGAGACCATATATTAAGTGGAAGAAGTTCACTTGTAGCTTTTGGGAAGGGCTCCATATGTAATATTAGTTAGTATTCTACAGTGTCACTTTGTATGGTTACAGTTAGCTATATTCAAGCATAGTCTAAGAATCCTGAATGGACTTTGCCAGGAACAACAGTTGATGTGCTTTAAGCATCTACCATCGGAATAGTGATGAACTCTTGTGCTGTTCTTCACTCCCCCTCCCTGGGTGAACCATCCACGTGTCCATTGTATCCACACTGTAGACAGACCCTCCCCGATTGCGATGGCTTAGTTGTCAGATGAAGCGTGGAGGCACCATGCTGTTAGTCTTCAAATAATGCTTTTTGCCTTCCTTTTGGTAATGGCCTCGAACTACAAAGGCAGTAATGCTGTCAGCTTTATTGGAATATACTGTGATTGCTCTATTTGTTACTAGTGATGTTACCCTCTTACTATGGCTAATTTATAAATCAAGCTTTATTATAGATAAGTACAAATGTTTAGGAAAAACAGATATATGGGATTATATACCATCTACAGTGTCACATGTGTCCCTTGAGGTCTGGGGACATATCCACCATGACTAATGGGGGGCAAGACTCTTCTGCTCTCCTGGGGTTTTTTGTTTGTTTGGTTGGTTGGTTTGCTTGCTTTTTTTCTTTTTCTTTCTTTCTTCTCCCCCCCCCCCCCCCGTTGCTTCCAAAACAAAGAAAGGAAGACCAAAAGACAAAATTACCCCCTTTCTTTTTCTAGGGTTAGCTCTTACTGTGGTTCGTTCTTTTTCATTTGCAGAGCAGAGAAAGCTAAAGAAGACTGATGTCCCGCTGCTGCAGAGGCTTCTACAAGGACCATCCAACAGCAACGCTCGGATCTTCCTCATGGATAAAGATACGGAAGAAATTAGCAGTAATGTACGGACGCCGATAGCCTCCGTGTGCCCTCGCATCTCCCTCTGGCTCAGCATTTCTTTCATACAGCCTTCTCTCTCCCTTCTCAGGTGGCGCAGTACATTAATTTTCACTTTTCCTTCTTGGAATCCATTCTTCAAAGATTAGATGAAGACGAGAAAAGGGAGACGGAAAGAATAATGGCGAAGTAAGTCTGGAGCGAGCACCCGGCTGTTGCGTCCTTCCATAGATTCAGTGCGTGCCCTATACCCACTTTTTCATGTTCTTCCTCTCCTTTTCAGATTCAATACCGAAAGGGCCTTCATCCTGAAGTGTCTTCAGAGTAAGCAGGCAGCAAAAACAGAGACCACAGTCTAGAGCTACAGCACCTATGCTAGCTAGCACACCTCAGCAGAGCTGGAGAGGCCATGGTGGGATGAGTGAATGGACCGACAGTCTGCCTCTGCATTCTGCTATGCATGACCTTGAAGCTGTGGAAAACAGTATGCCAAAGAGCCTGCTTCCTTTTTGAAATGATGAGGTTGGCTGTGGTTCAGAGTTGGACCAAGGCAAGATTGGACTTCACCTCAGTAACTGTAGGAAGCCTGGATACTGTGTATTCCAAATATCATTTATAGCAAATTCTTTAGTGAACTCAGAGTTAAGTGGCCTCTTCTGATATCATGCGGTTTAAACTCTTTATCTTGCATTCTCAATAGAACTAAGACATTTGCCGACTCATAAATGATTGGAAATAAACACGTCCAGTTCTTGATGTCAAACAGACAGCATTCTCAAGCCATCAGGGACTTGAATTGGCCATGTTTCACAGCTGTGTGGATACTGGAGCATTTTGCTAGAACCTAGAACTCTCTCTACAAGGGTTAATGACTTTTAACCTTGTAGTATCAGCGCTCTCTGTCCTTTGGGAATAAAATGATTTTGGACTCTGTAAAGAAACCGAAACTCAGGGCTTCAGAGATGGCCAAATGGGCAGGAGCAATGACTACTCTTCCAGAAGACCCATGCAGTGGCTCAGAGCCGGCTGCCTACAACTCCAGTCCTAGAGGATCTGACGTTGACCTCTGTGGGCACTGCACACACATGTCACAATATCCATGCACGTAGAAATAAATAAAATAAAAAAATGGAAACGTAAACTCTGATTTTTCTGAACCTGGGCCCTTCATTTGTACCCCGCTCAACAGATGACTTCCTAGCTAATTTTAAGTGTCTTAAAAGTTGGTTGTATTCATTTTCTTTGTCTTTGTAAACAATTATATCACAAGATTAGGTAGAACAAGATTTGACCACGAATGCCTAGTTGTTGCTGGGGATTGCTATGGATAAAGCCTAGCTGCTGTAGCTGAGCCAGGAGAGACTTCACAGCACCCTTGCTGCTGTATAAGACATGTTTGAGGTACTCACAGGTTTGCTAATCCCACCTGGAAAAGAAATATTATGGGGCTTTATTTGTGAACTCTTTATTAATGTGGAGTTTTAATCGACATTCTTCCATTTGAATTCTTTATCTGAAGCTATTCAATCATGTTACCTGTACTAAGGTAAAGTTGTATCAACAGCATTAATTTGTCAAACAGTTGTAATAATAAGCTGCTCATTCTCAGCATCTCCAGAATCTGAAATGGGTGACAATGTAGGAATACTGTGGCATTTCTGTCCCAGGAAGTCTCCCTCATTGATTGAAACAAAGTCTTGTATTTCTAAAGCTTTGTCTATCCATCAAGAAGGCACAGTTTCATCTCACTAAAGATGGACCAAAAGATGAAAGTAAGTGAAAACTCATCCAGGTATAGTGATATATCCTTTGTAATCCTACCATTCAGCAGCCAAGGCAAGAAGATTACTTAAAATTCAGGCCAGCTTGGTCTATGTAGTGAATTTCAGGCCAATCTGTGCCCCAGAATAAGGCTTCAAAACTCTCTCTGCCTCTGTCTCTGTCTCTCTCTGTCTCCCTCCCTCCCTCTCTCTCTTTCTCTCTCTCTGTGTGTGTGTGGGGGGGGTCTACAAAATGCATACAAAACTGAGCAAGCTTTACATAGGAAAAGATGGTATGAAAACTCATAGAAGTGCAATTGTCTGTAACTAAGCGAGTGCAAAGTATTGTGTCTGTATTCATCGACTCAGGTCAGTAGACAAACAGTGCAGAAGCATAGGCAAAGTTTAACATGAAGAATTATTAAGTTATGTTAGGACAGCAACAATAAAAACAGGATGAAAACAGGATGGCTACTGGCAAATGAGCTCCACCCAGGTGAGGAGCAAATGTAGACACAATGATTTCGACTAAGGATCCAGCCTGCACTTGTTTCCAAGTTATACCACCACTGCCTGAGTCAAAAGCTGGAGAAGAAGTCCAGGTAAACAGACAGAGAAAGCTGCACCTCACTGGCTGCTAGCATTGGAGAAGCCGCTGGAAGCAGTGTTGAAAAATCCGGTCTCCAGGAGCCGCAGAGGCATCAAAGACTGCAATGGTTTTCTAGCGCCCTCTGCTGGCAATATGCGATATTGTGCAAGCTGGGATAGAAACTTTACAGGGCTTTCAAAGGGCTGTGAAAATAAAATCTGCCGTATCAGCGCAACAAAATCCCTATTAGCAAAGATTAAACTGTGAGACAGATAATGATGATGTATGCTTCAGCAAATGGATTTTCTTTTTCCTTGAACACAAGTTAGATGTAAAATTTACCCTATGATTCTACTTGTAAAATATTATGTGGACATCAAAGATGCAAAAGCATTTTTCAAAGTTGTTTATTACACTGATGTTTATACTGACCAAAGGAAGTAAAAAATCTAAATGTTCAAAACAGGAAAAAATGATGTAAAATGCAAGAAACATTTGCTCAGACTGATACAGTCATTAAAATTATGTTTTAATAATAGTGATAAAGTCTCCTTATGAATATGAGATTATGTTGTAAAATACCCATCCTTTAGATTTTTGGATGGGTATTTACTTATGTGTTTGCATGCTAATATTGTATATCCACTCATAAACCAAAAAAGTTATGTATATATTATAGAACTGTGATTCCTTTCTCTAATCTTTTATATTTATTAAATATATGATGATGTATTAATTTTTTCAATCAAGAAAGAGAAAATGTGTCACATGAAAGTGATCCAAAAAGAGTAGGAAGTACATGCAAGAACAGATTCCTACTAGATGCAAAATATTTGTAATTAATTACTCAAATAAGACATTGACTTTACCTTTGTGTGGTTTAAAACATCTGCCCTCCTTAATCTTTCTGCAAGTCAGCTGGATGAAATAGTTGCTTTTCATTTTTAATGGAAAAACAATAATGAATGTATGACATTAGTGTGATGTTGTAGGCTTGGATATGGAATGACTGAATAGGGAAAGTTAATCACATAGCATGCTTATCATGCCTCTGAGACAAGAACTTTAAGCATCCATTCTTTTGGCATCTAGAAAGTCCAAGGAACAGAGTAAAGCAGAAAGGAGAGCCTGTGACTCCTGAGATTTGATAGCTGAGTTGCTAAAGTGCCTAGAAAGCTCCTTGGGTCACTTTCTTATGTGTATTATGGTCTGGGTGGTCATGAGGAAAGCCTGTTAGATCCAGCCCTGAGCCGTTCTACCGGAAGCCAACAGACTCTCCTCCCAACAGCAGCTATTGGATGCTTAATGCTAGGTGCTTGATGCTCATCTTAGAAGTGGATTTCTAGGCCTCAGACAAGCCTTCAAAAGAGAGACCTTGAGCCAGAAAACCCAATAGGATCAGTGCTGGGTTCCTGATCTTCAGAAACTTTGTGAAATAAATGTTTGCTGTGTTGTGTGACTAAATGCTAAGATTGTTACATAGTCCTACATTATTAATTAATATACAATTTCTAAGGCCAAATCTATTTCAGCTATTTTTGCATAATGTAAGACCAAAAACATTGTCAAAGGAGTTTTTCCTTGCTTTAGGTGATCCAAATATTTCATTGTCAGTTACATATTAATCAAAATTAAATCCTAGCTATCATACTATGGTTATTAATCATAGAGTCTGTTGCATTTATCTTTGTACTTTTTTGTTATTCATATTATGTCTTATACATAAGAAGTGCTCAATAAAATAAATAAATAATTCAAGAATTAGTTAATTATCTAAAATATTCTGATGAAGTCTACTGTGCACACAGCTATTTGTTCACTAGAAACTTTTCTAAATTTTTTTACTTAACATCAACTGCCTTCCACACCAAAAAGAAACTCCAAAAAATATATTTTATTAGCTCAAGACTCTGAGATATTCAGTTAGGCAGTATTACTGTGGAATCTATTTGCAGGCAACAGGTGTAACCACTAGGTTGAAGTATGTGCATGGGAAACACGTGTTAGGATGTAATTAGTAAGGCAAACACCTTCACTGATGTCCCTTTGTACACCTAATAGCATTTAATACTAGTTAGGTTGAGCCACTGACATCAATCAATATTTGATCAGCAAAACCTGAGATTCAATATAACTAGTACCATTTGCCTTTTCCCCAGCATAGCTTTATATCTACTGACTAGTGTAATAATCATACAATCTCATGGGGAAACTATTCTTTGAATTCTATTTCATATATGAAGAAAGTAAGCCCTGCAAAGGTTGAGAAGTAGACTAAGATCTTACTCAGAAGAAATAGCTTAGAAGTTGAACCTATGGCTAGCATGATGGATGTTAGGAGTAAATTCTAGGAGACTATTTCCAGGACCCTGCCCAGACATTACCATCTAAGGATGTTAAAGTACATCCTATCAAATGGGCAATTAGCACCTAACTTACAAGCCTCCCCGGTACTTTAAGTCACCTCTAGCTTACTTATAACTAGAGATTATCTACTACGACAATGGAAATTATAAGTAAATAGCTGTTATATTGTTTAGGGACAGATGAAAGGAGAGACAACCACACCTGTTTGATATAATAGTATGAAGACCTTTCACTCCACAAACAGGAGAAATCACAGGACCAGAATCTACAAAGGTGGAATGCCTGTTAGCTGCTTCATTGGACAATTGTGAGAGCAATGTGACTAACACATGTAAATGCTGGTGCTTTGCATGTCGGAGGTATTGAGGAAAAATATCTGTTATATTTAAGTTAGCCCTTCCCCACTGTAGACTTATCCTCCACTAAGCCTGATTGCACACACCTGCTTTACTTTTGACTTACAGCCAGTCGAACTGGGCTGAGAAAGTGGCTCAGTAGGTAAAGTGCTTGCTGTGAAAGCCTGAGGACCTGAGTTCAGATCCCCAGAATGTACATAAAGCCAGATGTGATAATGCACATCTGGAATCTCAGGGTTCCTATGGCAAGGCAGGAAGTGAGGCAGGAGAATCGTGAGAATCTCATGGACAAGCTAATCTGGTGTACTCAGTGGCAAACAAGGCAGAACATGGCAGCTAGCAGCTGAGTTTGTCTTCTTATTGCCATGCATGTGCCTACCCACAAACACAAATGCACATACCCAAGACTGAAAGCACAATACAAAAAGTAAATGGATCTCCCACATTCTCTGGAGGGCCTGAACTACTTGTCCAGCTGTTGAAGCCATTCTTGTTGCCTAGTTCTAAGCAAGGCTCTGTCCTTGCCTGAACTACTTGTCCAGCTGTTGAAGCCATTCTTGTTGCCTAGTTCTAAGCAAGGCTCTGTCCTTTGGTGACTTTTTGTGGTCTCAAACTCCTGTACACTGCGATCATTTACCCTACTTGTGAAACACTGGACATGTGATCCTCGCCTTTATTTCAAAGCCTTAAATTGATTGTTTTACACCAACTCATTAGTAGCTTTGTATTTTTAAGTGTGTGTGTGTGTGAGTGCATGCATGCATACACATGCATATCTGTGAGAACAGGTCCCCATAGAGAACTAGAGTCACAGGCAACATTGAGCTGCTAGATGTGGGTGTGGAAAACCAAGCTTGGGTCCTCTAAGAGACCTGTTTGTGCTCTTAACAGCTGGACCATCTTTCCAGTCCCCAGTATTTTGCAAAGTTCATTGAATGCATAGGATGGTAAACAAATGTGAATGTTGCTAATATGTGTAAATATTGATAACTCCAGAATGGGGAAAAGTTAATGTAAGATTAAGTAAAAGCATCACAATTAAAATATAAAGTTTTCTATTTCTCCAGTCAAAACACTCCACTTATTTAATAAGCACTAAACTAATATTGTTTTTTATTGCATAAAACAATCGTAGAAAAATTTTAAAGGCCCAATCCCAATTATAAGTTCTTTGCATCATTTTCAGCAGAATTTCCAAAGAAAAGACTAGTCACCCAATAATGCTCAACTTAATGTAAATATATTAGGAGCCATTGCTGGCAATGTCAACACCACAAACATACAGGAGAGTAGAAGCCAGGCCCATCATGAAGGTAATTTTATTAGCATTGTTCCCTCACTTCATCAGCAGTCATTCTCAGCAATCATTCTCAGAAGCGGTACAGACAGCTTCATGTTGACCTTGAAGACTTCACTGTGGGGGCCCAGTAGCCAGTTCCCAGCCAGAGCCTGCACACTAAATTGGCCGAGACTTTGAGTGCTCTTGGGTTTATGTCTCTGCCCCTGCTTTTATGGTGGGAAAGCTCCAAGGGGCTGATCTGGGAGTTGATATGCCATTTGCTAATAGGAAAGGAAAGATGGTGTGGACCGGCTGGTACTCTGCTCCAACAAGCCAACGAGAAGCCACTCTGCTGTCTTCCATATTGCTGATCTCAGAGATAATCCTACATTGGCATTCTCTGGGATGAGTCGGCCTCTAAGAGGGACTGGCACTTCACGATCAGTTGGGGTCCCTAGGCAAAAATGAATAAGCTTACCTGTGATTGGGAAAGAGAAATCAAAACTACTATGGTCCTGGTCCCTAACAGAAAAGTCTTTAAGCTTCCATGTTGGATGCTTAAGGGAGCTACATTATGCCCTTTCCTCCTGGTGTCAGACTTCCCAACATGCCTGGTTTCTTAACTTAAAGATTCAGTTAACTGCAAGCCCATTCTCACTTTCAGAACATCATATCTGAAGTATTGTTGTCTCTTCTCAGAAAGGTCAGGCTCTTTGGCTACAGGATAATACACACATACATGTACACGCATACACACAGACATACTCTTATACACATACACCCACATGCACAAATACACATGGCATATATATATGCATATATATATGTATATACATACACATATACATATATATATATATGCACATATGTGAGTTGACTCGCATCCCCTGGCATTCCTAGGGAAGAGGCTACAAGTGTATTAATTTATTCCTTCCTCCTGTTTTCAAACATCATCACACTCCATCATTTCGGGCTTGCTTTGACAAATCCTTCTGAACTCCTAAGAAATCCTTCCTCCAACGATAACTTCTGAGTTGTTAAGTCAGTTTTCATGGGAAGTCACTGCATAAGCTTAATCTGAGACCTCATTTGATCCTTTTTTTCTCAGAAGCAAATAGCAACAGAGGATAGCTCTGCATCTATCTTTTTTTTTTTTTTTTTTTGATATCATTTATCTCTTGGTTCCTTGGAAAAAATGTAGTTATGATAACCATCAATATGCAAATATGTCTCTAGACAAGGCAAGGTAGGGGGAAATCATTTTATTTGTTCATTTATGGTGTTGTGGATTAAAGTCATGATGTATACTAAGCAAACGCTTCATCAGGAAGCTACATAGCTATGTCCTGAGCCAGAAAAGCAGTCGAATAATGAAGAAGGCTCTGCAATGAGAACCATACAGCCTGAGACAAAGCCCACACAAGAGCGAGAAAGAAAACCAGGCAGAGGCTGCATGTGCAGGTTCACTAGCACTTTTTACCCCAGAGCTGAGATGGTTAAGACAAGAGGATCGCTGTGACTCCATGTTGGTCTTGGCCACAGTGAGTTTCAAGGCACTCTGAGCTATGAGATGATACATTTTCTAAAGAAAAAAAGTAAGCTTTTCTGATGGAATTGAGGACACAGAGGACAGGAGGAAAACAGGTCTCCCTTCCTCAGCCTCTCTGAAGCTAGCCTGTTGCAGACCGCTAAGCATACTGACACTAGCATTTGTGATGAGCACTAATTACCTGTCTCATCCCTCATACCCCTTGTGACATGGTTACCAATCCTTCATTCTGTACATTCCCTGAACATAACAGTTTGCTGACTCCCTTTCAAGGCATGGGTTACAGGGTTGAGAAGATTGTTCAGTCGGTAAGAGGTCTGGGTTTGAACTACCAGCATTCATGTAAAAGCAGAGAATGGTTGTGCAAGCCTGTGACCCCAGCACATGAGTGCAGAAACAACATGCACACTGAAACAGGCAAACAGAGACAGGAGGATCCCTAGGCCTGGATGGCTAGCTGTCCTCACCCAAACCATGAGCTCAAAGGAATAAGGCAGAGTGTAATAGAATAGGACACACACACAGTCTCCTCCTATGGCCTCTGCATTTGTGTACATAGGCTCACATACATACGTGTACACATAGTACACTCCAAAATAAAATAAAGTAGAAATAAACGTTGTTCTCTGTGTCTTCTGATTCCACATTGTAACAACAGGAAAGGATTACAAAATTAAATAAATAAAATCCCATCGATGACTTAAAAAATAAAATAGCACAAACAACGTTAAGACCTGGTCATCAATTTGAGTTAAACATGGGCAACTGTGAGTAACTCTGGCCAGAACATGATGGTGGAGCTAGGAGCTCTGAACAGAGATGGGAGAAGTTGTAACAGCAGGAAAAGCTGGAGTCACTGAGCAGAGCTGCCCTGTGCTGGTGTGGATCCACCCTCACCAACCAGCCTGCCACACTTCCCATTTCTGAGATGGGGCAGCCCCGCCCACCTCCGTGGCTGAGGGTCCCATGGCGCTGGCCATTATTGATTCAGCTTCCCAAGAACTGGAGTTTGTAAGCATCAACCTCATAACTTTCCAGAGTCTCACTTCCCCCAATGTCCTCTCAATAAGCTTGTTTTCATTTCGGTTAGCCAGAATTTAACCCTATTACTTACAAAGAATTTCTACTGGCAGACCAGCAAAAGTACTGTGTAAATAGGTTGAGAAAGCAATCTTTGAAAAAAATACCACTGTCAGCTGTGGTGGCCCAGGCCTGTAAGCCCAGCCCTCAGAAACCTAAGGCAGGAGGAGGATTACAAGTTGAAGACATGTCTGAGACGCTTAGTGAGACCCTATTGAAAAAGTTTTTAAAAGTAAAACAGAGGTTGGAAGTACACATGAGTGGGAGAGCACTTGCCTACCATGTGTGAGGCCTGTGTGTGTGTGTGTGTGTGTGTGTGTGTGTGTGTGTGTGTGTGTGTGTGTGATTTTCTCCCAGGTATTCATCCTGAAAATAAAAATCCAAAAGCAAAACCACAAATGTTCATACTAACAGACAGACATATGTTTAGAATATACTGGGCAGAGAACCTTAAGCAACTGAAGAAGAACCAAGCATGGGATAATAAAGTAGCTCAGTTTGCCCAGGGATGCATAAAGAAGACACCCAAGAAGACAAGTTTGGACCTAAAATTAACTAGGTCCAAACTGAAAGATAATGCAACATTCTGTTATAGAAATCATATAAGTAAAATCCTGCATTATTACAATGGTGTGATAAAAGTAGGCACTTTATGCTTTGTTTGTGAGCATGGGAAAAGGACAACTAAATACTCTCAGAGAAGATGGAGGTATCAGGAAACTATAATTCAAAATCATAAAACCAAACAGATGTGGCATGATTTATGTCATTAATGGTAGACTATAAGAGACTTGACTTCACTGAATGGCAGCAGCTATAATGTCTCTTTTGAGAGATAACAGAGGAGAAATTGGTGACCCTCAGCATCCTGGCCTGCTACTGTGAAAAGTATTCCCAGGAAATCTGCCATAGAATAGATTACTTTAGTTGCAGCCTGTTAACTAAGAGTATGTATGTTCTGGTTACACATCAGATTCTTTGTTTTTGTTGTTTGTTTGTTCATTTTTTTCAAGAGAAGGTTTCTCTGTGTAGCTTTGGAGCCTGCCCTGAAGCTCACTCTGTAGACTAGTCTGGCCTCGAACTCACAGAGATCCTCCTAATTCTGCCTCTCGAGTGCTGAAGTTGTATATCACTACCGCCCAGCCTACAAAGCAGGTTCTTTAACCCAGGCAATGTAGAAGGAATGGTTTTCTTCCCACTAACTTTATGATTTCTCACTAACACAAGATGGGAAAGGCTGTGTGGAAATGAAGGAAGCTTACACACGTTAATTAAGTTTAGGAGAATTATTAGGTGCTGCTAAAGTTGAAAGACCAAAAACTTTAATATAACCAACTAGTGTACTAATAAAACTTTACTGAGAGAGAGACAGACAGACAGACAGACACAGACAAACAGGGATAGAGATAGACTACAGGTGTAGGCAAAGTGAGTATAAGTACACTATGTTAATTGATGACAATTTTATTAAAATTATTCCAACATTGTAATCACAAGAGGATGAAGAGACAAAATGGTTGTCTCTTAGAAATAGGGTGTTTGCTCTTCTCCTCTTTGTGAGTTATGAACCACAGCATGTATTAGACTTTCAAACTTATATCATTAATCAAAAGAAACTGGAACCAGTAACTCAGTGTGACCCAATCAACATATATTTAGCTAATTACCCTGTTTAATGGGATCATCATCTTTTCTTCTTAATTACATCTTACAATTGCAGTGGCTTTGACAGTAGACTCATTAAGCTGGGTAGATTCATCATGTAGTGAGTCTAGACCTCTAAAAATCATTGTTTCTTTCTGCATTAACTTGTGTCAAGCCACAACTCAGGGCAAAATTTAACCTTTCTTACCCATTCCACATTGATTAGCAACCAGAGTTCACTGAACTTCTGCTAACTCGCTCACTTTGTTCGAGTCTCACGTACTGTGAGGTGATAAACATCTGGCTGTAGTTGTCCTTCCTCATAGAAGAAATGCATGTGATCAGACTAAAGAATCTCTGCCGAGAGAATGTTTTCCCTGTGCCTGCTAGGGACTGGATCCCACTTTTCCTGAGCTCTGACTGTCTAGATTCAGCCTGGTGTGTGGGTAGATGGGGGATGCTGTACACACTTGGCTGCTTCCTCTTCATCACATAAAACCGGTCAGCTTCCCAACCGTCTCACCTCCGTGTTTGACACTGATTTTGGCTCATCTCCTCTTTCTTAGAATTTTTCTTTGGTTATGGGGTTACGCCTCACAGTGTGTCTTCTATCCTCTCTAAAAATGCTTTCTCCTCTCACTGGCCTTAGGGAGAATGGCAGCTTTCAAGCTCACCCACTTTCTCTATCAACAGGCAGAACAGGTTTACCTAACTGACAGTCTCAGGAAACAAAGCAAATGCCTTTCAAGTGCTTGGTGACAGTTAGTCTTTATAGCTCTTACAGCCTCCACAGGTGGCCAGCAAGCTGAGCCCTTTCCTGGAATCTCAGGTCTAGAAGTCTGTTGGGACATTCCAACATCCTGTTCCTTGTCGCTTGTCAAACCCATCCACCAATATAGAAGCCAGAGTGTCAACTTATAAAGAAAAGACTCCAAAATATTTCCATTGTTGATTACTACCTCTCTGGCTAACTAAGCCTCTTTATGCACTACAAAGTTTTCTTTAAAACACAATCTTGTCTTAAATACTCATACTTAACATCCCCCAAATTCTCTCATAATTAGGTTGTTTTCCAGTGGCTTATTTCTACTGCTAACCTTTGTTCTGGATTCTCACCCAAAGTCAGACCTATGGAAATATTGGGAGGGTTAAGAGGGGTAAGAGGCTAACTGTCCACCTTCACATTAGAGAAGAGGTTCCTGAAGTGTGGTCCTCACCATACCACAGCATCACCAGCAGCAGCAGCAGCAGCACGGGGAGCTTGTTAGAAACACTAAGTCTCTGGACCCCATAGGGACCTACTGTGAACGGAGCACCCTCCTATTCTTTCAGCAACCTTCCAGATTACTCATGCTAAACCCTGAGAAGCATTGCCTGGAATGATCACTCAAAAATTAACAACCAAACAAGAGAGAATAATGAATTACAACATACAGTTAGTGTTTATCTGAAAGTCCCAGCAACTGTTAGTTAGTATAATATAGCATTCTGGTAACTTCTGTTACCTTTTGAATGTGGAGGAATCTCAGATGGAATAAGGGAAGGAAAAAAAGAAATGGAATGATATTTGATCTTTATAATCAGTAATTAAAAACATGCTACAGTTTGTCTACCCATGCATAGACTTTCTAGATGGTCCTAGTTTATGATGACTTATCATAAACTAGCTTGTTTTGGGTGTTTTGTTTTGTTTTATTTTTTATGTGAAATCCATACACATTTCACATTTAAATTTGAATGTTTATCTTTTCCCAAGCTTGTAACAAGTGTGCTGTCCCATCAAGGTACTGGGAAGTGGCAGTGAGCCACAGTTCCCACTCAGCCACCCAAGGAGGACACCAAACTTGACTGTGCACAGTACTGTTAAGTTCCGTTGTGTGGCATTTCGTATTAGATGACATTTAAATTACTTTTATTCCAACTTACAGTGGATCTATGGGGGACAGAACCTCATTTTGGAGAGGGACCTGCTAGATACCTGACTTTTACTGGAAACATAAAGTTCAGAGGAATTAACAGAAAGGAGCCACTGTGAGTAATCGAAGTCATAATGAAGGTTATTATCTTTGAAAATGTAGCCTGATTCCTGACCAGCCCCAGCCTGCCTTGCTAAATGTAGAAGGGCCTGGTTTTTTTGTTTTGTTTTGTTTTGTTTTAATGACATAGTCACATGCCCCTGCACAGACCCTATTACCTAGTGTATCTAGCCTCCCAGACAAGTCCTTAAACAAGCTGTCCCCCAGGCTGTCCTTCAGGCATTCCATCTCCCTGAGACTTCCCACGAGTTTGCTGAGTCACATGCTATGGCCTCCTCAGCAAATTAAGTTGCACAACTTTATAGTCCAGTGAAAAACAACTTGGAAAATGACATACGTGACTACATACAATGATATTAATTATAGAAAAATGGCCTTCTGGTGACGTGTATGTATGTGTGTTTAGTATGTGTGTTTGAGTAAAGCGTATGTGTGTGTATGTGAATTTAGATTTAAATCCCCCCCCCCGTGTGTGTGTGTGTGTGTGTGTGTGTGTGTGTGTGTGTGTGTGTGTAGCATATTATTCTGGCCATTTCTATCCTCTGTGTTCCTCGGTCTCTGTTCACAAAGTTCTGTCCATTGAGGAAATAAAATCCTTTTTACCTGAGTCCCAGCTTATACTCTCAAACAACAGTAAGGGATGCTTCCTGATTGTGTCCCCAGAAATTCCTAGAGGGAAAAACTCAGAATTTTCTCTAACAGATGTTTAAAGTGTCATTTTTTTTTAACTTCTAGTTTTTAAATGACTGCTTCTCTACCACTAGAATGGGCTTTCAATTCATCCTCCCACTCTTGCTTGTAAGCATCCCACTCCCATCTGGTACCACAGTTATTGTGTCTAATTCTTCTGATTTCTCCAAACATACATAAATATTAAGATACACAAAGCCCAGGCATAGTATGGTCAGTCACTACCACCCATCTAGTTTGCAAGCTCCCTTCTAATCTCGAGGTTGCAACGGGGAAATGTTTTCCTTGCAGTAATACTCAACACTCCTCTATGTGTTTGTTTACTTGAGAGACACTCTACACGATACCTCTTCTTGAAAACATATCTCCCTCTTTCCTGCATGGCAGCACATCTCCACCAGCTGCAAAAAATCCTCTCCAATGAACAGGAATGCCTCTTCTGCTATGTGTGGCTTCTGTTTCACAAGGTTACTGAGGAGCCTAAAGCAAAAATAAGAGGGGCAGAGGGGTTATCCCTGAGCTGGCAAGGTCAGCTGCATGGCTGTCATACTCACAGACACACAGACCATCCTTGTCTTCCCCTCACTCCCATTCTCTTCAGGTTAGAGATGCTGAAAAGGGACATGATGGCCTCATAGTATAGACAATGTTCACCTCTAGCTTCAATTTTCATAAGCCTTTTTCTGCAATTCTACTTTTTTGTTTACTTGTTTTTACATGACAGGGTTTCTCTCTGTAGCTTTGGGGCCTGCCCTGGAACACGCACTCTGTAGACCAGACTGACTTTCAAACTCACAGAGATCCACCTGCCTCTGCCTCCTGAGTGTTGGGATTAAAGGTGTGTGCCACCACCACTGCCTGGCCTTGACAAAAAGGTCACATTACTTTAGTGATCATCATGTAATTCCTGCTGAGATAAGTTTGGATCTGAGTGAAAACTATCACAACCACTTCTGCTGTGTGGGCCAGGATGGGTGAGGTCTGGAGTTTGCCATCTCCCAATTATAGTACCTCTATATTATCTTCAGTTTTGCTTTGAGTCAGAAAACCTGAAGCTTTACTGTCTGAACCCAGATATAGACTATCAGAGAAGGTACAACTTAGAAGTTTGAAGTATTTGCTTTTATACCCATTTATGGCTGTGATAGTTTTCATCCAATAGATTAAAAAACAATTGAAGGCATACTCTGATCTATTTCTCTGTCCCCAGATACTCAGGTCCATTCATGGCTCTCCTCCCTACTGTCTCAGCACGGGTAGCTAGCCTGGAAGAAGGCGGGTCATAGGGACCTTTGTTTCCAAGACTGGAATGCTTCCTGATCTTTATTGTCTTTCAGTCACTACTGCACCTGTCCCAAACATGGGCAATAGAGAACAGGTCATGGGCAGCAGTCAGTGTGGTCACCAGCAGGGCAGACTGGGCTCTGGAAGTAAAAGGGAAGCAAGGTAAGGAGAATGTAGCTCTCTTGGCTCCCCAAATCCAACTCAAATGGTGTCCATGAGTCCTACAAAACCCCGGGGGAGTATGGCCTGCAGATCCAGCATGAAGCAGTAAAAGGAGACTTCCAGCTTGGTGTGGTGCCCATCTGGCATGCTTCCTTCTTATGTCTGTTTTTGTTGGGCATGACAGTCCTTACTGTGAATCCAAGTGTTTGGGAGGCAGAACCAAGAGGGTCTGTGAGTTCAAAGCCTGCATGACCTACATAGCAGGTTCCGGATCAGCTAGATCCACAAAGTGAGACACTATCTCAGAACACAGAAACTTCCATATTCCCCACTGCCAACTCACACCCTTCCTCACCTGAGGACACACAGTGCTGAGACAGTAAGGGCTGCCAGCATCGAGACAGCACAGCCCACACCTCCTGTCTTCAGAAATTTCCAGAAGACATGACTGGCTTTCAAAGTGCAATAATGCCTACTTCTGAGAAGTTACATGGAAGAGCTAAAGGAAGTCATGCCATCTCATCTAAGCCCACATGGTTGCTAGTTCAAGATCCCAGGCATTTAGGTAAAATCTGTGGCGGTGGAGAGTATATATGAAGAATTTGTTTATAGTAATTTATCACAGAAATTGAAGATAATTTTTATGTCCAACAATACTAAATGGTTGGATTCCTATAGCAGAACATTACAAAATGCTGTTGTGAAGAATAATGACAAACTATATATAAAATATAGACACTGTAATACTAATAGGAGAAATATTTAAAATAATGTAGCTGGATGTCAGCTTTCCAAGTATGTTAATCTTTCCTGTGTCTCAGTCAATGTGCTCATGGTTTTATTTATGATATTCAGTATTATGATTTCTGTTTTCATTGGAAAGTGTCTTTCATTTTTCATTTGCAACAGTGGTTTCAGATTCTTTGGACATATCTGCCAAATCTGCAGGGTGAGGCTCCATCCCAGGAGCCATGAGTAAGATGTCTAGCTAATAAGACAGGCTGGGTCCATGGAAGCAGGAAGAACCCTGTTGCTGCCTGCTGGGTCCCCAAATAGACTAGGTTCCCCATCATACAGGGATGGGGCACTGACTCTTTGTAAAAGTGCCGTAAAAATGTTTTTCTCTGAAGTCTGCCAAACCATTAAGGCACATCAGCTCTGCCAGGGGAGCACCCCTGAAAGCATGTCATCCTGGGAGGTGGGGAGGAGGACAACAGCTTTGCAGGTGATGGAGGTGGCTCCAGGGCTCCTCCCAGTGAGTCCGCAGTGGTGCCAGAGCTTTGGGGGCTGTAGTAGAGGAGTGTCTCACAACTTCCCCCTTGAGAAATGTAGATGGTTGAGGGCACAGAAGTGCTGTACAGGCAGGCTGTAGCAGGAGCTGGCAGGACCTGCGCTAGTAATCATATATAATCCAAAGACTGGTGGGCGGGAAGCAAGTAGAAGTGTACCCACCATACAAATGTGACATCATGTGTTCCTATGCCATGCATGAGTTTTTAATGTGCATCTCTACATTGTTGGGCTTGAACAATACGGTTTTCTTCTCTGTCTGTCTATACATGTATATGTATATAAATGATCACAGTTACATGTATCCTAAAAACAAGTCAATATTTAAAATCAGAACAATACAAATTTTCTAGCCAACTGTTCTATTCATACCCAGTCTTCATTCCTTTTGTTTGTTTGTTTTTGTTTTTTTTTGGGGGGGGGAACAGGGTTTCTCTGTGTAACTTTGGAGCCTGACCTGACACTTGCTGTGCAGACCAGACTAGCCTTGAACTCACAGAGATCCCTCTGCCTCTCTGCCTCTCTGCCTCTCTGCCTCTCTGCCTCTCTGCCTCTCTGCCTCTCTGCCTCTCTGCCTCTCTGCCTCTCTGCCTCTCTGCCTCTCTGCCTCTCTGCCTCTCTGCCTCTGCCTCTGCCTCTGCATCACCGCCCGACCCTGTCTTCAATCTTAACTAAACCTAAACTGACACCCTCTTGAATGAAAACACTTCATGCCAATTATGTCTACGTTGAGTGTATAATCCAATCGGTTTATGCCACCTTTGAATACTAATTATCAGATTGTAACAAACTATTATTCAGACTGAGAAATATTCTTCCCAGTGCAGTTTGGTGGGTTTTGTCTCAAAATAGTTTCCTACTAACACAGAATCACTTGTGGCACTCAAATGCACTGTGCAACGCAAAGAGACTTCAACTCAAGTCCCAGGCCACAGAAACAGGAAGATCAAATCATGAAACTTGACAGCCTACACCACCGGGCTCCCCTGTTCCTAGATATCAGTTTGCAGTTCCTTTGTCTGGCCTAAGGCATTAAGCATCCCAAAGCAGTTTACAGAGACAGGCTTTCTATTAGCTAAGGCAAACTCTGTAAGTCATAAATTAGGGCGTGGGTTAGTTCATCCACTCACTGGTCCACCCTGAGTATGTATGAAGAACATTTGTGTGTGCCACAAGGGCTTTGTGAGAGCCAAGAAACAGATGGTAAACTAAAAGACCCAGTACAGAACCTACCATGGCACCTAGCACATCGAAGATACTCAACGAATCTCAAAAGAAATAACAGTCTGATGGTGATTGGTGGTGGTGGAGGTGATGATGATAGGACCACTTCACCCATTTTAAAATATGTTCCTTCAACAAGGGTCTCCTTCCTTACACACGCACACATGACACATTCACTTATTAGCAAATAATCAGGGAGTGCCTTGACTATTCTAATGAAGTCTTCAGTTATAACGAAGCCCCCTCACATGCACTTCCCTCTATCTTCTGACTCACAACCGCGAGTTCCCAAACACCTCCATGACTTGATACCTCCTGGAAATATCTTTCCTTTCCCTCCCCCAAAGCAATGGCATTCTTTCCCCACTAGTTTCTGGATGCAGTTCTCAGAATGGCCAGTAGAGGGAGGACGAGCACACGGACTGAGTTTGGAAGTTCGCCCTGTAATAAGGAGAAATGGCCTTGTGCAGGGCTGGCGAGGATGGATCTCCAATCACCCGGATTCAGGATTCAGGGTGTATGGAAATGACATTCAGGACGGGAACATCGGGGAGTCCTATTACTTACTTTGGCCACTGCTGTTTCTATAACGGGGATGCTGGTAGGAGGTCTGTGCTGCCTGGCTGCAGGCTCACCCCACACAATCACACAGGGGATCCCTTCGGGGTTGATTTACCTCTTCTGTCCCCTACTTGTTCCCCAGCCCCAAGCTCAACTTGGCAGCCTCTAGTCCTCTAGTTTTTCCATACTTCAGTTTCTAATTTACCTTTTAAATGTTTATGTCCTGTTTAACCTTTGTTACTTCTAGTCTGTTCCCATGGTCCTGTTTCCACAGTATTTAGTGTTTATTAAATTATCTATCATTTTATTTAAAACAAATGCTTCTGTTTATATACTATCTAAAATTAATTATCATTTTTAATTGCTTTTATTTATGTACTTATTTATTTTCTTTGAACTTCTATTACCTATTTTCTTCTATTCGGTACTAGGGATAAAAGGCAAAGCCTTACCCAGGATGAGTATATACTCTGCTATACTCGTTATATACTATATTCCCAGACCTTTTCTTATTTTTTCCAGATTTGAGAAAATCTCACTGCATAACCCAGGCTTGCCTAGAACTCGCTGTGTAGCCCAGGCTTGCCTAGAAATCACCCAATCCTGAATAGCTAGGATTCAGGCTTTGTTCCAGCAAGCCTAGTTACTATTTCCTTTTATCTCTTACTTCTCAGTTTTTATAACCTCAACTCCTGCTTCCTGTACCTGTTGTGTGGTCTCCCAGCAAACCTTTACTTTTTCATCCCTTGTTTCTTCACACTTAAAATGGTGTACTGATGTTACCCACCCCATGAATTTACAGGGAGAATTTAATGAAGCAATAACATAAAGTGGTACCAAGCTATGTCCAGGGTACTTCTTCAAAGAGCAGCAATTCTAGTTTCTAAAGGGGAAACTAACTTCTTTCTTAATGTCTCACACCAAGCCTAAGCTAACTTAGAATCTTTTAGTGGAAAGATCCAATGTTTAGTGTATAGTGTTTAGTTTAAATGCTATAGGTATATACACATTTCCATGGCCTAATATAAGTTTGTAAGGTATTGTTTGTCCTTGTTTTCATGAAGTCCAACTACAGATTAAGAATATAATAACTTTATCTCATTTTCACTTAGCCATCAGGTAATAAAAAAGTGTTCATTCTTATTACTGGAAGGAGGAGAATGATGTAATTATATTTTAATATATATGCATATACATATATACATATACACATACATACATACATACATACATACATACATACATACATACATATGAATGTGTCCTTGTGTCCTTAACACAGGGTACCTGGGAAGAATTTTTCACTGTAGTTTCAGAAAAAGGAAAGAAATTGCTTTATTGCAGGATTCCTCTGACTCCCATCTCTAGCGTGCAGTGCTACTTTCCCAGGAAAGAAAGGAAATTAACGACTCCCAGACTTAACAGAATGTTTTCAGCATGGAAAACCCTACCTACTAATGCCTGGACTTCAACATTTTGGAGGAATTTATATTCATGCATCCTCTGCCAATATTTTCTTAGAAATTTGCTTCATTCTCATTAACTGACCAAGCAGGGATTGCAACACAGTAGCTATACTGGCTAATTTGTCTAACACATTTAATCCCATTTGATTTCCAACAGACATTTAGCTGCTGTTTTCATTATGCAGAAGTCGTATCAGTACCAGGCTTAAATTTCCCCACATCAGCCCCCCTTGTTGGTAGCAAAAACTGAAGTGAACAAAGGCTTACTTTTGCTTTTCAATTTGGAGTGCCTCCTCCTGTGCTTGGCACAAGTCATCTTCAAGGCTGATGACTTGGTCACAAGACAAAGGTGGAGGAATGTAAGTTCCATCGACTTGCAGGTCATCAAAGCATGGCTTTCTGAAGGCATGGGAGCTGTCACAGCAGTGGCTCACTCCAGCATTGACAGGCTTGGTGTCATGTCTTCTGCACAGAGCTCCAAGGATCAGCTTTGCCTTTTCCAAAGGAGAAACAAAGTGAGAGCGATACGTTCATGTCCGTTGTGCTTTTATCCATAGACAGTGACATTATCTCTGCACATCCCCAAACTGTACTTTGTTCTAGCACCATCTAGGTTTCACTTTGGGGGGAAACAGAAGGTTGTCAGTGTAGACTGAGCCCCAGCTTATGCTCCCTATTCGCATTACTGTCAGGCTGAGGTGCACTTGAGTCACCTAGAGGTTCCTTCCTCTATCATCTGATAGTCCAGTTTCAGCATGAGATTACAGCTTCTCACCCCAACACCACCAATTCAGCATCCAGTATCAAGCCCACCCTACCGCCAGTATGACTTGGATGTGCAGCCTGATGGGACTTCTCAGCCATCCGGTGTCTTCCAGCACTGTGCAGACATCTGCAAACAACTGCAGAGCTGACACACAGTAGGTACTCCATTGGTGTTTAAACTCATGACCAGAGAGCCTGGTCCTGTTTCCATTATCTCCCTCGCTTTCTTGACCCCTTCTAGAACTGTCTCCTTGCCTTGTTCTCATGCCAGTGCCTACAACTCAAATGCTCACCCTAACAGTGTCTATAAACTCTGCTTATGTGACTCTCGAGTACACCGGCCACCCAAATGCCCTTTTACTCACGTATGCGAGGATGAAGTTATACAAACCAGTCAACACAAACATTGAATTATTAATTCATCCATTTAGAAGTAACCAAGACAACGTCCCCAAAGCAAGGCTCTAGGAACATACAAATCTAACCAGGTGAATTCCCCAAGGAAGGCATGATTCCATAACAAGAAAAAAAAATTAAGTTAAAATGAAGGTAAGGCTAGATAATAACTTCAGATTTTTAATAGCTGCTTTATTAGAAGAAAGGCTGTAGCAAGTTAGCATAAAGGATACAGTATCCTGTGAATATAGGACAAACAAAAGTAGCACTAAACAAGAATTCAGAAATGTTGAGAGACCTAGAAGCTAAATCTGAGGTCTAAGCATCCTGCAGCTCAGGGCCAGTCTCCACCGGGAAGAAGGAATATGGTTATAAACATGCTTCAAGAGAGCCTGGAGGAAATATATGCAAGGCTATTCCTGCCCTTCCTTTCATCTCATGTGAACCAATCTCCCACTTTAATCCAACTTCTCAAATATTTTGGCCAAGAAAAGGATGGCCTGTAACTACAACCAATGGTCTCTGGGAAGACGTTGCTCCTTGTGAGTGGACATACTTGAGTACTAACACATTAAATATGGTGAGTTCCATGGGCATTCATCAGACATCTGCAGCATCTTTGAAACTCCTAACAAAGTAGGTTTTGTCAACTTTAAAACCCAAGCAGTAGACTCCTGTAAGTGACCCAGGGGAAAGTTTTGTGAATTTAATGACACAAGTCTGAGAGGGGATAGTCCTCCCCTACTGCTAATTAAAAAGAGTTAGCATGAGCTGCCTGGAAAGAGTCTCCCCTGAGGATTCTTAATCTCCTTTAGTGGGGCATAGAGGTTGATTTCTGGGGACGGGAGAGCAGAACTTCAGACAGATGGGAGGTGTGTCATAACTGGACTTAACGCATCCTTGACACAGGCAGATTGCAGCTCTTCCCTTAATGGGCAGCATCTACTGGCAGCCGCTGCCATCTTCCTCGTGAATGTCACCAACTCATGCGAAGACAGCTGTGGGGCTTTCTTAGTATAAAGGACTGTGAGCCTAAAACAATAAGTTCTTCTTACTCTTGGTAATATGCACACCACATACATAAATACTCATCTACACCAGCAGCGGGGTTCAACATGTGGGTCACCACCCTTTGGGAGGTTCAATGACCCTTTCACGGTGGTTGCATTTTAGATATCCTGCATATCAGAATTCACATTTTTATTAATAACAGTAGCAAAATTACAGTTATGCAGTGGCAATGAAATAATTTTATGGTTGGTGGTCACTACAGCATGAGGAACTGTATTAAAAGGTTGCAGCATTAGGAAGGTTGAGAATCACTGATTGACAGTTTCCCACGATATCCAACATTATCTCTGATGTAGGAGGAACCCGGCATTAGACTAGGTTTCTAACCTGTCCTAATGGCTCAATGGGTAATTAGACACAATTGCCATTATCCTCACACTCCATCCTAATCCATCTTTATTGGACTAATCAGGGATACATTCAGAGCTAAAAATTAGTCATAGAGTAAGCAGTTTCTGGGAAGAGCAGTGGGTGATGAAGCTCCTAGGGACTGCCTTGTGTGGAGCGGCTTGTATCCTCCAAGGACTCCCACCCTAAAGAGTAGGGGCAGACAAGCGCAGTGTGGGCGGTGCAGAGGGCTGTGGGTGCTGTGAGTTAAGTCAGAACTTTAAAACGACTAAAGTCTCTGGCTGAAAACTAGGGAAGGAATTGCCTTCCCCTCCATTTTTCATAGTCCATTCACTTCAAAAAAACCTTGTAAGGGTTTCTCCCCTCATTGAAGCTCACACAGTACATATTGAAAAACGTAGTTACATTTCCATCAACCATGAGTCAACAATGTCTTTTTTAGGGACTCAGAATCTAGGGACATAGGCAGCTCCCCTTTCTCCCAGCTTTTTTTTTTTTTTTTTTTTTTTTTTGGTGTTGGGACGGCTTGGCTTGGGGAAGAACCCTGCTGCAAGTTACAAAGTACCTCCTTGCTTGAAGACATAGGAAGGGCTTTGGGGGTGGCCCAGGACAGGAGCAGGGCTGTTGATTTCTAGAGACTTGGTTCATGCGAATTAGGACCATTAGCAGGTAAAGTTAGGGTGAGTTTTGACAAGGTCAAATCACCTTGAGGACTAGTCATTGTTAAGAATGGGTTCACCAGTTATTGTGCGGAATGGGTTGTCTTCCCAGCTGTGGCCAGAGTGGGACTCCTGTCTGTCTTTACAAGCTGTTAGTGGACAGCCCAGGATGCACATCACATTCTGGTTTAACGTTTATCCAATTAAGAAAAAACTAGTCTCTTTTAATACTACCTTGACAAATTTTGTTCCTAATGACAGTTCCCCAACAGTGCATAAAAGATGACCTATTTCCCATGTCAGGAGGTCAGGCAGGACATCCAGAGGAAAGGCCTTCAGAACTGAGACATGACAATGCCTCTCTCTGAACAAGCCAGGTGACAGGCATAGGATAGGAAGATTTGGGACACCATTGACTGTGGGTTTTTTTTGGGGGGGGTGTTTTTGGGAGGTGGGAGGGATTTAGATATGTCATCAGTTTCACCATGACTTAAGGTAATGGCTTCTTCTAGAATGCAAGCAAGGAATAGAGCTATTTTAAGCCCAGTTCTGGCAACACAAGTCAAAAAAAAATGACCTGAATTGGAATAGTATTGTTGACAGAAAGACGTGAAGTAGTTTTAAAGAGAAAGATTATAGAACCGTGTGTTCAAGACCACAAACAATTAGAATTAATTGCTGCATTGCTGGCAAAAAAATGCACATGGAAGAAAGACAGTTTCTCCATCAGCCTGGGAAAGTCTGGGGCCTGAATTCTACTGTCTTCTGGAAGACTTTGTCACATTCTAAAGTTTAGGAGCCACAAATCTATCTAATCTTTGCAGTGGGCATTAGCAACTGAACATAACATAATAGAAAAATACTAATCCAAAAACCCTGCCTAAAAGAAGCAGGGCACGTTCTGTGATACATTATTCTGGACATTTAATTCAAACTCGGTATTATGAGACACTACATCAAACCAAACTTTTCTTTAATATTGTGTTTCTAAATGCACAGCTCTAGTAAGACCTCAGAGATTCCTAGCATGGGCTTTACTTTTGGATTACTTAATCCTTGATAAATTGGATTCTCCAGGCTGTTTGTACCCAAGGTATTCATATTCCCTTTGACAAGTAACTAAGGGATTCATCTAGTTCTTCACTTGGTGGTCAACATGCTAACTTTGCCTGAAAAACCTGACTTGAAAGTGACAAGGAATCCTGGATTCTAATCTCTATTGCAGCTTTGACTCCAAGTCACAGTCACAGCCCCAAGGTCAGCTATGAGAGATCATGGTGTCCCTGCAAGGCCTGCTCTACTCCCACATCTCAGGGGCATCTGGGGAAGTGGCCCTGGATGCAAGATGGAGGTTCCCAAAGTCACATACATACCCGTTGAATCAGCACAGAGGGCTGGTTAATACTCAACTCAAGCTCTTAGCATGGGGATTAACCAACAGTCAAGGATGAACCTGGGCCATCTTAGGAGCATACCTGTCCTGGAAGTTAGGGCCCCCTAACTTCTTGTACAAGTCACAGTAAGTTTTAACACGGTCATGGCTTTCACAGACCACTCTTTGGAACATCTCTTTCTGAAAAATAGACATTGTTAGTGTTTATCCAGGGTCACAACAATATGTCTTGAGTTAGTATAACAAATACATTTTCTCTAATAGTTTAATAACAACATTTGCTTAATCACACCCCTTTTTTCAGTTAGTGAGTTTGAAAAACTTAAAAAAAAATATCATGTTTTTCTCTGAAAGAGAATTCATCACATGTTTTGTGGGAAACAAATTGACAACAAAATTGAAAAATCATTTTACCGTGATATAAACTCATTTGCAGGCTTAAATAATAAACTCTATAACCACAAGGCAAATCATTCATCAAGCCAGAATGAGAGAAGGAGAGGTAGCATATACATCCATTTGAATGGTCAGTGTGTGTGTGTCCATTGGTTCATTCAAAAATTGGGCTTTTTATAATTGCAGCATGCATACACATATATAAGCATAAAACATATAGGAATAGAGATATTGATGTGTGCTAAGCAGTCATGGTCCAATATAAACATTAGCTGCCATGGCTATAAACACATGTCACAAATATACACCAAAAGGAACCAAATGGAATTTTCAGTGCTGAAGGTAAATCAAACTGTTTTGAACCATGAAATAAATCCCAGTGAGAAGACATTAGTAACCATGCAGGCTCAACTCTTGGACAGGAGCACATTTGCTCAACAAGCCACCACAGTTTACCTTATCCTAACAAGCAGTATTCCACACAGAGAAAATGCCTCAGATTTGTAAGCTGATGGCCTGGGTTTTATTCTTCCCTTGTCTTTACTGCTAGTGTAAATTAGTCAAATTATTTAACCCTCTGAGCTTTAATCTTATCTACTGAAGCACAGCCTGTTTTCCCAGGCTACAGAGAGATTCAGATGGATGCTCTGGTGAGGCTGCCTGCTCTGTCTGCACATGTCCCTGCATGGTGCCACAGTTGTAGATGACTGTAGAGGCTGTCTTCGTTAGGGTTGCTGTTGATGTGATGAGGCACCATGACCAGGACACCTTGGGCAGGACAGGGTTTATTTGGTCTCTGCTTCCACTATTCATCACCAAGGAAGTCATGACAGGAAGGCAGGAGGAGTCACATGGAGGGGTGCTGCTTACTGGCTTGCTCCTCATGGTTTGCTCAGCCTGCTTTTTTATAGAACCTAGGACCACCAACTCAGGGATGGCCCCACCCACCATGGGCCTGGCCTTCCACAACAATCACTGACTAAGAAAATTCTCTACAGGCTTGCCTGCAGACTTGTCTTATGGAAGCATTTTCTCAGTTTAGGCTCCCTCCTCTCTGATGACTCTAGCTTGTGTCAAGTTGACATAAAGTTGTCCAGCAGAGAAGCCTGTGATTCTGTTCCATATCCTTCTCTAGAAACAGAAATACTGGCTGTACCTGCTTGAACCCAAACACCAAAAGACACGCCTTTGCCCTTCGTCCCCTCCCTTCCCCCCCCCCCATTTTTTGAGACAGAGTTTCTCTCTGTAGCCTTGCCAGTTTTGGAACTCACTCTATAGACCAAACTAGCCTTGAACTCTGAAAGATCACCTGCCTCTGCCTTCCAAGTGCTGGAACTACAGACTTGGGCGAGTACCTCCCAGAAAGTCTTGGCTTTTTATAACCATCAGTTAGAAAACAAAAGTCAGAAATACCTAGGCCTTGGGTATCCATGGCTGACAATCAAAGCTATAGCTTGTGAACACTCTGGCATCTCCTTGAAAACCATATACAAGAACAGATTGCTAGCTTGCAAGGGAAGCCTTTTCTAAGACATGGTACCAAAACTGGTTGCACTATCCTGCTACTGTGTCAAGCTGGCATCTGCATTCACTTCCAAGAGGACCCATAGTGGTGTACAGTTGAGGGTGTCTCATGAAGCACCCTATGAGACAGACAAGCCACTATGGTATGTGTGATGGTCTGGCCTTGGTTAGGGGGAAACCCTGCTTCTTGCCCAGTGGTCATAATTAACAAAACATGCAAACTCATTTCACAAAAGGGTGTGCTAACAAGACTGGGGCTTTCACTGTTTGTAACCACTAGTGAGAAACATGTTTAAAAATAAAGAAAGAAAGAATTTACCCCAGGGCTATGGCATTCCAAAGGGTTTTCTAACTTGCAGCATTTCTCCAGTAAATGTTTATATGTGGCAAACACTCTTAAAATCACTGGAACTGCCAACTTCAGGTGTCCCCTTGAATATTCATAAAGAAACCTATATTGTGTAAGACACATGAGAAGACAAAAATTAAAACCCAGAGGCCATGGGTTTGTTTGTTTTGTTTTTTGGTTTTTTTGTTTGTTTGGTTTTTGTTTTTGTTTATTTTCCATGATGACCATGGAATTGAACTGATTGTTTTAGAAACCTTGGGAGGCCCTCAGAAGGGCTTTATTGTTATGCTTTGAGATAAGAAAACCAAATCAATAAAATCAAATGATTTTCCAAGGTCACATGGTAGTGAATGACAGATTTAGAACTTGAACCTGAAACACTAGTAGGTTCTGGCTCAATATCTAGATCCTTCTATATGAGATCAATTTCAAGTATTCATAAGGGTAGACATATTTTCCAATTACCTTTAGGATTTCTTTTTTTAAAGGACCTTCCAGGAATGTACTTTTAAGGCATTAAATTATCTCCTTCCCCCACTCCTTTTTTAAAAAAATAAGCAGTGAGTGTGATTAGTCCAGTCATAATCTACACACTTGTCTGGGTCATCAGAAAGAAATAAAATGGGGCCTAAAAAGATGGCTCAATGGTTAAGCGCACACACTGCTCTTCTGAGGATAAGAGTTTAGTTCTAAGCACACACAGGAGCTCACAACTGCCTGTAACTCCTACTCAAGGGAATCAGACATTGCTAGCTTCAGTATGCACAGAAACATTCATACACGCATGATAATAATAATCTTTAAAGGAAAAAATAAAACTGATTATAGAATGCTCTCAAAACACAGGATTAAAATGAGGCCATTGGTGCTCCCTCATCAAATGACTCAGTTTACTGTTGGAGCACACTGCCTGGGAGTTCAAGCCACTACACAGCTTATGAATGTCAAAGCTAGGCTGGAACTTAGGTTCCCTGAACTCAGAGTTTCATGTGTCTTCTACAACTGGGTCTAGTCAGCACAGGTCCACTGACTTTTCAGTACCAAATGCAAGTTTAGGTGTTTATGTGAGTGCATTCAGATAGTGGTATTCAACTTTATTAGCTAATGTGTAAAATATAAGTGAGGTCATTTAGCATTAAGGAAAACTCTATTCTCTTGGCTGCCCAAGTGGCTCTGGAGGCATTTTTAGCTCACAGTGCTATTGTCTTAATATTATATATTGAAATCACCCCATGTTATTGTAAAAATTAACATCTACTTCTGAATAGCCACTAATGATGTTAATCTCCCAACTCTTTAATGCTTAAATGTTGTGTGCATTTGATAGAGTATATTAAATTAATTAGAATAGAAGTGCTAGCCAGGAATGCCAATTTGATCCTCTTATTTATCCCTGAGTTCCTCATTCATTCCAATGCTTGTAACACTTGACTATCACTATGCTCTTTTTAGAAGCCCTTACAGTAGTTGTCAACATTTGGGAATAAAGGAACTTCTACCTTCTCTTTCATGTGTTATTCACAACCACCCAACCCCACATTCCCACATGGCATTGTGAGTGGAGCTGAATAACTAATGACAACTTCAGACTCCAGAAGCATCGCCCCCTTGGCCATAGGACCCATCCTTGGCCCCAGTTTTGTTCACGATTGTAACATCTCTCAACTGAATTCGTAAGCACCCAGGGAAAGCTGTATTACTCTTGTAGAAAGTCATCCTGCTTGTCACTGAATTGCTTGCAGGCAGACTGAGCTTCTGTAAACCTTCTGAGTGACAGGGGTGAAAGGTTGGGCTTGTCATCATTTCCTGAGTTGATAATGCATTCCCCACGGAATGGTTCTGGCTGTTCACAGCACTGAGCAAACTTGCTGGACAAGATGGCCTGGTTGGAGCAGGTATAGTTCATGAGCCAGTGCTGAAAGACATGAGTGGAACAGTTATTATTTGATTGCTTCATTCTCAACTTACCTGTTGTAATTAGAATATCGGAGGGAAAGTTGATATTATACACTGCTTTACTCCAGACAAATGAAAAGGCCCAAGGAGACATCCATTATAACTCATTTTGGAAAGAAATACTTGCCTAGTTGGCCTTACTTAGTGTCCCGAATTTTTATCTACCTAGCAAAAAGACAGGAGAAGACAGATTGTTTTAATGTTTTCACTTTTAGTCCAAAATCCACAGTAGTCTTACTCTTATTGTAGGATCCCAGTCTGGGAAGCATTTATCCCAGGATCACATTATCCTGTCTGTTACTTGGTGTAGTTCATGCTGCTATTCTACTTGCATATCGGCTTAAATGTACAGAGAAGTGGTTATTTGTGTGAATTAGGAACTCATGGCCTATTCAAAGAGTCAAATAACTAAACAAAACAATCACAAAATGGTAATATTAGAATATTTAGAAGATCAATATGATTCTTTAGAAGAAATCAAAGAAATTGACAGTCTAGATAGGATGGAGGGCATGGCGATAAGTCTTGTATGACTTGAGTCACAAAGGACAATTAGAAGTTAATTTAAAACAAGTGAAGACAAAGACATCCTAGAATTATTTCTTTTTCTATGTATATAAAATCTTAGTGGTAAGAAAGCATGACACAGTTGGGAAAGGGTCATTTGAAAGTTGTTTGTTGAGAGAATTACTTGAGGCTTAGTGAGACTAGGGGCTACTGACAAGGAGAAGTGAAAAGATATTTTAACTAAAGGGAGTGAAGGAAATGAGACAGAATCCAGGATTACGTGGGACAGTGGGAAGTATCAGTCACTAAAACTCATGTTTGGGGACAAATACAGATGAGGACAGTGACTGAAGAGGGAGACAAAGGATGACTTGAAGCATCTATAAGGCATTTACAGGGAGATTTGCCCTAAGCAGTATTGGGTAATCATAAAATCTAGGACAGGATGATGGGGAAATCTAAGTCTAAGAGTCATATGGAAGGCAAATCATGGGGTCAGTTTGAGTCTGCTGAGTGTAAGCTGGTTAACTGGGGAGCCAACATGCTCTTGGTGGATCAACACAGCCAAGAAATCAGTGCCTCCTGTTAGGGAGGAAAGGTGACTCCCCTGCAGGCAGCAGTTCCAGGAAGGAAACCGCCTGCCTGTGACTTCTGTTGTTGCCTTTAGCACTAAATGTTACTGGGATAAAGGTGTAATGGGAGAGTAGGGGCTAGAGACTGAAACATCAAGATTAATATAAGCAAAACCAGTATTGAAAGACAGACAGATAGGGAGGAGTAGGGATGGAGGGTGCTTTCTCCCTTTGCTCACTAGTCCACCTCTATTCTCAGGAGTTCCTTCTCTTTTGTAATAAATGATCTCTATTTCCATTTCCAACCACATGTGCCTGTTACACACAGGAATCTAGAAACTTCAACAAGTGCCTCCAGGCCACTGTGGCCTTTGCTTATAACAGGAGTGAGTGTTCCATAGGATGACACCCAGGAGACAGCTGTCAGTGGACTTCAAATGACCGGAATAACTTTTAACTAGGACTCAGGCAAGTTGCCCCACCTAGTTTTCAGACAGGCAGGAAATACAATTCACATCCAGAAGAGGTCTAGACAGGAAGAGAAGAGAGAGCCCTTGCTGGGTGAGTTCCAGCACTGCCAGTGGACAGGAAGGCTGGGAACAGAGCTGCCTGAGATACTGAATTTCAAAGGGTGGTAAGAACCTGTTAAGGACAGAGACATTCCAAGGTGAAACTTTCTCCCTCCATCTGCTGCAGTGGAGAAATAAACTAATGTGGTTGACAGCTAAAGCGCTGCCCTTGAATTGCCACTTCCTGACGGTGAATTAGGGAAACTTTCTCACCTCCTGTACCTCAACTCCCTAGTCTGCAAAAATGCGTAGTAAAAGATATACTTGGTAAGGCTGTGGAAAGTAAATTTGTCAGGAATAAAACGGATGTTCAAAGTGTCAGATAAAAGTGAAAGGGTTAGACTTGCTACTGGGCACTAGTATTTAAAAAGTGAGTGTTGTGGCAATTACCACACAGTCTTAGACAGCTGTTCCTACAGGGCTTCAGAGTCAGAGAGAAGCTGGGAGAACTTACCTGAGTTCTGATGACTGACATGAGAATATTACATTAGAACAATATCAAAGATTAATGTTGGGAATAAGCATTCTCCTTTTGGTCAGTGTGAAGCTGTGACTCAATATGGCAAAGTGTAACAAGCACTGTAAACAGCAGACAAGCCTTGTAGACATGCAGTTCTACTGTGTGGAATATGAAGATCTTTCCTCAGAGCAATAGGAGAAATGATCTAATTAAGAGAGAAATCTATTAATACTACAATCGTGGGAGATGGTAAATAAAAGAGATGACTGGTTTGGAAGTGTAATTCAGTGAGGTAGCACTAGCTTAGGGGATACAAGGCCCTATGGTCAATCCCTAGCAGCAGAAAGGAAAAAAGAATATTGTTCAAAATAAATAGTCTTAATATAATTGCATTTAAAAGAATGGCAATACCATCAAGCAGCCAACCAAAACATCTGTGATAGAAGCAACAGACAAAACTAAGAGGAAAATCAATATAATTAAAAGCATAAAGCCAGTGAGTGAGTCCAAGAATTTGTTTTGGAGAAGGCCAATAAATTCCCTTTTCAGCATCAATTAATTAAAGAGAAGCCCAAATATACAAGAAAAAGGGCATACAATTACATAATTGATGGTGTTTTCGTTTCAAATGAAAGCATCCTCTAGAGTTCTATATCCCTAAATGAGAAAATGTTAATAAGCGAGATTTTTGAGGAAGAATTCCATTAAATGCATGACAAAGTAAACAGTTGTGTCTCAGTCTAAACACTGAATTGGTGTGTACTGAATCAATGCCACTCCTGGAAAAATGCAGGACTCCCATGAGTCTTTTAGTTAAGAGAGCATTTCATTGCTGTGTTTGGAACAACCTTGAGCATTGGAATTTCCAACAAAACTATTGCCATTGAGCACACTGCAAAACAGGGACATTTGTTTGTACTGTGAGAGCTGAAGTGAATACAGAACAGTGCCTTGTTCAGCCTCACAAAGGTGTAGTATGTGTGCATTGGGTGGATCAAATTTTTGGCTGCTCTGAGTGTGTGTTCACCTGGGAACAACCATGCAAGTGTTGTGAGTACTGATTTTGCATCTGGGGAAGCAGATTAATTCAGAATGATGGACTCCATGAACAATAAGGATTTGTAGGAAAAGCATTGAGACTGACGCACAGCAGAAGGCATGGAAAAGTATCTGCCATTTTCTATCTCTACCTCAGCCTCAGGTTCAATGAACAAACTCAAATAGAGGCTTCTGGTAGGTCCCTTGCCTCTACCTCCCTGCTCATTGTGGGTATGCTAGGATTATAAATGCATATCACTTTTAACTTGACATGTGTTCTAGTCCTCACACTTGCGTGACAAGTACTTTCATTTATAAAATCCATTGGTGAATAAGTCAAAAGATAGAAAACCAAATAACCATACGAAGATGAGAAAATAGTACCTACGTACTGGTGTTCAGAACTGTGGTGATATTTTGTTTATGTTGTAACAAATAAAGTTTGCCTAAAAATCAGAGTGCAAAGTTAGCCACACTAGTTAGCTATAGAGGCCAGGCAGTGTGGTACACACTTTTAATCCCAGCACTCAGGAGACAGAGGTAGATGGATCTTTGTTAGTTCAAGGGCTACATGAAATCAATCCAGTCTGAAAGAGAAACAGAACTCACACAAAGGTGATCCCAGCCCTTGAAGTGGCACGCCTTTAATCCCAGCACTAAGGAAGTGGGGACAGGAAGGGATATGGCTGGACAGAGAGAGGAATATAAGGAGGGAGGAGACAGGAGCTCAGGGCAGTTTGAGGAGCAGTGCAATCTGAGGAGCAGTGCAGTCTGAGCAGTCTGAGAACAGGGTTACCCCTTTGGTATGAGCATTGGTAGAGGTGAGGACTCTCTAGTGGCTGGCTGCTATGCTTCTGTATCTTCAGCATTAACCCCAATATCTGACTCTGAGTTTTTATTATTAAGAACAGTTAGAATTCATGCAACACAGAACCCATCCAGAGTAAAAACAAATGAACAAAACCTCCCCAAAGAGTAATGAAAACTCTTTGGACACATAAATGCTGTCTTTGGCAAGCCAGTAACCCCAGAGCTGTTTCCATTACAAGGACCAGGACAGGATTGCCAGAACAATCTACAGTTACTTGAACTTGTTTATGAATAAGTAAGTGCAGATTGTTCTGGCTTGCCTGCTGCAGACCATCCTGCAAAGCACCAATTCTGTGGTCACGGGCTGGGTACAGGTATTGTTTATATGTTAAGGAAGGGTGTTCTCAGATTTTGTTTTGTCTGGACTGGGTTCTATCAGCACCATATGTCCCTATACTTTTCAATCACATGTACCTACTCTTCAATCAGAGAGGATCTGTCTGTCCGACCTACAAGGTTAAGCTCTGTAGTGGAACACTTACCCAGCAGGCACAAGGCCCTGGGTTCAATACAAAGATCCAGCATCCCAAAAGCATGCATAACAATGTTTGTCATGATTCTGACCATTACTCAGCATTCTAGGAATTGGGAGTGGCAGCTGCCACTGCCCCTGAGTGGCAGAGCTGAATGTAGCACCAACTACATTCAGTCACAATGACTACCAAGAGGTGTTGCTTGAGCCTACACTCTGTCCCAGTAGAGGTTAAGTTTGAAGATTTGTAATCCCAGGGATCTTCCTGTCTGACCATTTTAACTGTTATTTCCATTCTTATCTTCTAAATTGTGTGTGGTGGGAACTAAAATGGTTGGAAGTAAAGAGCTTTGCCCACAGGTTTTTGAGTTTTCTCATGAAATGAGCTCATCTTGGTCTCTCTGTCTGTCTGTGGTGAGAACCAGTCACACTTCAGACTTGCAAAATCAGTAAGAACATGACTTGTGTCACTTGTTAGGGCCTTAGGAGGCATGGGCAGCCTCAGTTCATTTCTCTCTTGGGACTAGGGGACTTTATATTCGGATATGGCACAGGTCTTTGTCCACGTGCCTATGTCCTGTGTGCCCCATACCACACTGATTGGTTTACTTTCCCATTGTCTGACGTCAGATGCAATTCTAGGTCTTATGCAAGAAGCAATGGCAAGAGTGGAATATAGCCCCTATTTGGAAGAGAGTTGTATACCAATTCTAAAAATCTAGGAAATAAAGGAATGTGGACAATGAGAAAAGGGAAGGAGGAGAATTTTGCATGAGTTGGGAACAGAAAGAACAAAGATGGTTGGTATTCTACTGGTAAAAAGAAGAGACCACTACTTTTCTGGTTTTATTATTTACCATTGTACTGTTGCTTAAGAATTTTAAACTTTTTAAAGGCTAACATGAGAGGGGTCAATAGCAATAATAAATACAATGCCTATGTATGAGACTGTCAAAGAATAAATTTAATTAATCAAAATATTTTTAATTATAAAGAAAGATGTCTTACCCTGCCAAGCACACATGCCACTGTATTTCCTTCACAACAGGTCTCATGCAGATTTTTAATATCTGTGGTCAATTTAGCAATTTCAGAAAAATCAAATTTAGGTTGCTTTTTAGTGAGCAGAATCAATTCTCTATAAAGAAAAGTAAGTACATTTAAACAGTATTTTTTTTTTAGAATGAGAATTACATTCTGCTTTTAGTAATTATTCTATTTCTAAGATTATAATATAATTATATCATTTTATCCTTCCTATTTCTCAATATTTTGAATTTCTACTTTAAGTAACCTAAAGTGTCTAAACCTTGCAAGTATTAAAAGGTGTTTTCTACTTTGATTATAATGCATAGACCCACACAAAAATCAAATCTCAATAATGTCAAATACGATAGTTTTCATCATTTGAGGATCTGCTAAATACACTGAGTTGCTGAGACATTGAAACATATAACTTGATAACCTTAGAAATATGGGCAGTGTCTTTGCAACAAAGACAAGTGTATGGAGCACAGGCTTCCTTTGTGACTACTGATAAGTTTCTCTGGCAATAAGATACCCTTTCCTCCAGGAAGCTCAGTGCTGTCATTGGGGAAGAAGGTGGTAAGATAAAAAAAAATAAAAAATAAAAACCATGGGTCCAAGCTGGAGATGATGCATTAAAGCATCCTCCAACCCTTGGTCTCAAGAGAAAAGAAGGCTATTTTTGTGTCTAGCCTTTACTGTAGAGGAAGATTCAGTTAGTCTCTGTATATCTATCTATCTATCTATCTATCTGTCTGTCTTCTATCTATCATCATCATCACTATATACTTAACTGGCTTTGTACACACAATGTAGCCTAGGATAACCATGAATTCATGATCCGTCTGCATCTACCTCATAAATTATGGAATTATAGGTAATATGCCACCATGCCCAGCCAAATCCCTGCATATATATATTTTTTTTTAAGTTTTACTTCTTTTTGCAATGATATGTTTGTGTGTGAGTGCGGCTACCCAAGTAATCCAGAAGAGGAAGTAGGTCCTCCAGAGCTGAGTTACAGGCCATTGTGAGACATTCACTGTGGCTACTGGGAACCTAACTTGGGTCCTCTGCAAGAGCAGTGTGTATTTTGCCTCTCCAGCTCTAAGTCCCTGCATCTTAATGCCCCAAATCTACCATGCAGTGAGGGATTTGAGCAAATGAGATTTACTGATGGAGGAGATGATCGGAGCAGTTGAGGATTACGTGTGTCATTCTCAGCTCCCGTGCCACGTGCCATTTTTAAACAGAGAAGTAGCATAGGGGTAGAAAAGGATTCCAGGCTTATATGGACAAACATTGCTAAATAATGGGTAAATGACTCTTCAAAGTAGTTTAGCCAAAACAGCTGGCCTAGCAGCAACAAAGCCCCCGAATCGCATTGAGAACTTACACTGCTCTTGCCAGTTGGTCATTGAATTTAATCCTGATTACACATAAATGGCGATGTCTCGAAGATATTTCTCTAATATATTTTCTGATGGGTTCTAGCTACAAACAGAAAAACAATAAATATCACATCAAATGAATGTGATAGTAACAGAAAATGTTAATGGCATAATTAGGAAAAGATAGAAAATTAAACATCATCAGTCGCCTCAACATTAGGAAGTATTCAATGAACTGACTGAAAAGGAGCCGAGAAATAACAGGACAAGGCTTTTGCAAAAAAATAACATCTCACTTCACCAGCTATCACTTATCTCAAAACTTCATAAACAAACTGATATCTAGAAAGCTACCAAAATAGACTCAAAAACTGCCTTACAGATGTGCTTTCTTTCAGCCAAATGGTTAATAATTTTATCTTGGAAGTGTTCCAAACTGCTTAGCTGAAATAGATGCTTCAGATCTGCAATACATATTAACTTCTTTACCTCCAAATGCTTGTTTTCTGTAACCCTAGATTTCTACTTTTTAACTATCACAAACAAATATTTCCAGATAAATAAAAACCCCAATTATGATAAAATAATTGTATCCATTTTTTATGATGACAAATATTAAAGGCAAACAAAATGGTTTAAGAGTGAAATAATTGTTAAGTAATGACATTGTTTTGAGAACATGTATATTTGTAATGAAAATAGATGTCTTTAATCAAATGTCTAATCAAAACTTTCTTGGAAGGAACACAGTAACGCACAAAATAAAAATCTCAATTGAAAAAAAAATCAAAAGAAGGAAATACATACAATTAACATTTTTGACTGGTACAAATGTAAGTGAAACTTTTAAATTTCAGGATAGCTCTATATCTCCAATTAAAACATACTGGGGCTGAAGAGCACTTGTTACTCTTGCTGAGTGTCTGAGTTCAATTCCCACAACCACCTGTAGCTCTGTTCTCAGGGGATCTGAAGCCTTATTTTAGCTTCTTCAGGCACAGCATGCAAGTAATGCCAGAAAAACATGCAGTCAAAACATCCACATACATAAAATAAGTAAATGATAAAGAAAAGCATTATATTAACTGTGTATTGTTTGTTTATTATAATGATATCTTCAAGAAAAGTCAGAAAATGTACATAAACAAGATCTCCAAACAAAAATCCTGATATAATCAGAATAATTTATTCACTAAGTGTTATTAAATGCTAATTAATAATAGGTTATAGTTAACTGTGAATTATTTTTATTATTATCCCATTTGTTGCATCACATTCATTCAACATTCATTCAAAATGGAATACAAATCAGTTTGCCTATTTTCATGAGGGTCTCTGAGGCTTTATCACACTCTGATCACAGACTCAATTAATATGCAATGTGATTGATTGTGTAATTTTCTTCCAGGACAGAACAAGAGCCACTTAGGACACTGTGAACATTACAGTGGGAAACCTCTTAGCTAACTTATTGCACCTGCTGATATTTAACACTCTAATGTTCATGTTGCACATTTAGGAAGATTTCTCAGTGAAGAAACTGAATGTGAAGAAAATGTTGTGACTTAAAAGGATGGTGTACAAATTATTCACCACACCCATCCTGGCGGGAAATTCTAGACAATGAGACAGACATGAGAGCATAACCATTGGCTTTCAGGCTTTAATTAAAATGAAACCAAGAGGAAAGGGAAATGACTGCCTTCTTGGGATAACTGAGAATTGGCTTCTGTAGAGCCAGAATCCTCCAGAGTAAGAATGGGGAGGTCAGGCATTTAAACAAATAGCTTTAATGAAGCTAGTTGCCAAAATGAGTTCTTAGCCTATTGCAGAATCTCTTCAGATATGCTATTTTAACATACAAGGAAAGGCCAGGTATGAGAAAGAGATGCAATTTTATAAATTTTATGGGAAATTAGATGATTTCTTATGAAGACATCAAGACAAAACAGCCAAAGTTAGCCTGGGTGTTTCTGGCTCATGAAATTTCATGTAATTGCAATCATAATGATTATCAAACTTCTGTTAGTTTTCAGCCTGACATGTAGAAATCTGCCTGATGCCTTCTATAATGTGAGTCTGTTCATATTCAGAACTTTCCAATGTTTAGAAACTTTAATAAACACACAAAAACACTTTTATCCTAGAACCAATCACTGGTGTGCACCTACCCAATGATGATCAAAAGGCTAAAATATCTCCTGTCCTGTGTTTTTCTGATAAGAGACTGGTCATCATCATCCCACCAAGAAGTAAAGTCTATGTATAGTTCCCTTCCAGCTGATGAGGTCTCGTGGTGTTTTAAATAGGAGAACATGGCAGAAATGGGCTAGATTACAAATGGCTATACAGCCTCTTCCTGGTCTACAAGAAGAATCCTTTCTGGAGCCTTTGGCTACATATAAGCAATCCAATTGCCCTCTGACCATCACTGGTGGGGAACAGTCCAGACTAGCCCAGGCAAGAACATTAAATGCACATACTTGAGATTGTACATGAAGAGAAGAGATATTGCACCAATGCTCAGTGGCTTCAGCTCCTCCAGAATTCTAGGTACAGATATTATTTGATTGCAATTACACGAAATTTCATAAGCCAGAAACACTCAGGCGATCTACTTCCTGGGTTCCTAATCACAATCACTAACAGTAATTAAATAATGATCATGGTTTTACACCTCCAAAATTTGGGGTGTTCTGCTTAGATATTTATTTATTTTCAAGTCTGCCATGCTTCTCCCGTGTCAGGACTGCATACCTTTCTTTTTAAATGAAACACTATTTATTAGGTCTGGAGAAGAGCTGTGAGGTGATAGTATGCTGCTGGTCTACAATCCACAGCTTCCATAGCAGAGCCTAAATGACAACTGAACTATGTATACAATACCTTTGTCTGCAGGATCTCCGTTTTATTTTCCTCTTGACAACATGACAGAACAGCTGTTTCGTAGCAAGCAGACATGGCCAAGATAGTGGGTCCATATAAGAATGGATGCCTTCTAGAAATTTCATAGCCATACCTGAAATTTATGATAGCAAAGATGTATGGTCTGGAATTCAGGCAGTATGACAATGACATTTCTCATAAACTGTGTATTTTTTAAATCTATGGAAATTTCTGGAAATTCTGGTGATTGAGGGTTGGTAGCACTTTGCCCAATATTATCAAATGTTCACCATGAACAGATTATTGGGGTCATTCCCTAAGTGTCTATAAAGTGACTGTGACAGGTGAGTTAAACATGATCAGAAATGAAATCATCCCACTTTCTTCGAGAGACAGGGAAGTAGGAAGTTCAGTGGTCTAAGCATTGCTATAATGTAGGACTGTTTATCTGGCTCAGGGATTGACTTTACAAATATTGATGATGGTCAGAAGTCTCTCAAGGTCATCCAGATGTTCTTTCTAGACTAACACAATCAGTATCATTGTCCTCTAAGACTTGCCATTTAGTATTTTTTGTTTGTTACTAAATTCCCTGGAATTATGTTTCCTCACACTAGCCTGTGGAACTTGTTCAAGAACAGATTCGTGCACACATGAATATTCACTCAGAATAAGCCAACACTATAGACCAAACCAGCATATTCTCACAGATCCATTTTCTTTTCCTGTGTATTTAAGAAGACTACTTTCCCTGCCCCTGTAGTGAAGTTGGCAGCTATGATCAATTAAGTATTAATGGACATGCTGCACCTCACTTCTAGGCTTGGACACTTATTTCTTTGCTAAACTCTGAATCCTCTTCTTTTCATAGATACATGTTCCTGATGGCATAGCCCATCATAGAGACATGTGACCATTCAGGTACTCATTAGATAAGAATTGTCAGGATTTGAGCTGAGCCAGGGAAAACTGAGCTGGCAGATGTCGAAGTAGCCAAGTAATGCTGGAAGCCAAGATGAAAGTTGCAGTTACACCATAGGTGACTGTTTACTAGGGTCATAAAAGGAAGAATGCCAGGTCTACTGTTCCACTGTCTTCCCTATGATCCAGCCAGTTGAAGATCATAGGAATGAATGAAGGGTTCAGCAGGATGGCTCAGTGGGAAAAGATGATTACCATGCTACTCAGTGGCCAGAGTTTTGATGCCTGGAACATATGTGAAGGGGAGAGAAGAGAAATGACCCCATAAAGTTATCCTTTTACCTCCCCAACACACACACACACATACACATGTTTTTTTTGCATGGTAACTTAATGTATGTGCCCATTCCGGGGTCCTCAGGGAAAGCTCCTACAGTTCCATGGACCTGCAGCAAGGATGAAAAAGAGCTAATGAGACTGGAGCAGAAGGGGCCTATGCAGAAAATCCTGGTAAGAGTCTCCAAGAGCAGGCACTTTAGCAAGGACTATAGCTCTGTTCAGGAGCATGGTGTCCAGGAGACCCAAGTCCCTGACAGTACCCTTCAGTAGACTGTGGGGATGTTTGGGGGTTGCCTGAAGCTTGTAGTAAATGACAGCAGGTATAGCATTTGGTACATGAATAGCCATGTCCACATTTTGTAGGGCCTGTATGGACTCCCAAAGCACCCTGAGCATGCCTGAGATGTTGCCTGGAACATTCTACAGTTTCAGCTGGAACATCATGCCCCAGAGTTGTTATTGGTACTCTTATTGATTTGCTAACACACATCTGCTGGGGAGGAACTGAGCCCAAGGACTTGCATGCTTGACTCTGATTGTTTTCTGCTGTACATAAGCCCATACCTTCTCCTAAATAAATGGCATTCCAGCATTCCTGTTGCATGAATGACCTGCTGTCTTGTCTCTTATTTAAATCTCTAGGCCTTCATCTAATTAATGGAACAGATTGTAGGGTGGGCGCTACAAGTGGAGATCCGACAGAGACCGGGAAGAAAGGATCACCTAAAAGATCACCCTTGGAGGCTAGCCGGCAAAGTAAGTGGATGAGGGTGTATTGAAGGATGAGTGCCAGTAACTCTAAAGATATTCTCAGTGGGAAATTAGTGGCCCTATTGAAAAGACAGGGCACCAGGGTTAAAACTAAAACAGCTAAAGAATTCATTGGCATATTATAGAAACATAGTCCCTGGTTTATACACTCTGGAGGCTTAAACATCCCCCACTGAGAACAGGTAAAAGGAGATCTCCAAATGGCTTATAAAGAAGAGGGTCCTGATAATTTCCCTTATTTCCACCTTTTCCTTTTGGTGTCTAGTTAAAGATGTGCTCCTGAGCAATAAAGTCAAAGTAAAAGAACAAATAGAACTTTTGAGGAAGTACAAGATTTAGAACCTGTAAAATCTATCAGGGAAGAAGAGGGATCTCAACTAGAACATGATAGTCCTACTGTAACTGATGAAGAAGATATTTTGGAAGCAGAAATTGAACAATTAAAACAAAGAATTGCTGAAGCTGATAAGCACAAATGCCATCCACTGAGGCCCAACCCCTTTTCTTGTGATCCCTTTAGTAGGGCCTCTGTGCCGCGAGGGATAGAGGAGATCAAAGATTTAATAATCAAGGTAGAAGCATTAGGAAATGGGAGACAAGCTTTTCCTGTGATTGAGACTGTGGATCCTCAGGGTAACAGGGTTAGGGAGCACAACCCACTAAATTACAAGGACATAAAACAACTTAAGGAGGCTGTCATTGCTTACAGTTCCCATGCTCCTTTCACTCATGCAATTTTTGAGTCTGTTGCAGCATTAAATTGCACCTCTAGGGACTGGATGCAGCTCTGTAGAGCTGTGCTGAGTGGGGGTGATTATTTGCTGTGGAGAGGCAATTTCTTTTTTTTTTTTTTTTTTTTTTTTTTTTTTTGAGTTTTCTTTTTTTTTTTTTTTTTTTTGCATATAGAGTATTTTTTATTTAATTTTATATAACAAAGTCCAATTAAATGAAAACAAACATTTATACACAATATTTGGGAATTTGGGCGTCGTTCTTTCCAAACTACTTCCTGCTGGTAAGGGGCGCTGTCTTGGGGGATTCGAAGAAGATTCAGCTATCCTAGCTGTAGTCTGTAGGGCTGTTTTGTCCAGCTGTTTGGAATGTAGGATCAGCTTGTACTCTGTTTCAGGCGGTCTGGTGTGATCAAACCACATTAGTCTGGAAGGAATCCACATCTTTTCATTTTCTGTGGAAACAAAAATAGAAATACTTTTCCCCAGTAACTTGTTCTTCAACTTAAATTTTGGAGTCAAAGCGTTTTTTTTTTTTTTTTTTTTTTTTTTTTATTATTATTTTACATGTCGATCCCAGTTCCCTCTCCCTCCCTCCCTCCCTCCCCCCAAACCCTCCCTCCCTCCTTCCCTCCCTTTTGCCCTCTCTACCCTCTCCCATGCACTCTAAACACCCTCCCCTCCCAACCCCCCACCACAATACAATATGTAGGGGAATGCCATCCAGTTGGGGTCATGTAGATCTGACAGGTCCTGTGAAGTAGGGACTAGGGCTTCTCTCCTATCTCTAGAATAAGGCAGTTATCCCTCCATGGGGGATATGTTTGCAAAGTCCTTTTGTGCACCAGGGATACATCCTGGCTCCACTGTCTGAGGTCTCTTAGACTGCTCAGACCTTCTGGCTGAGACCCATATTCAGGGGAGTCCGAGTCAGACCCCTGTTGGCTTCCCAGCTATCAGTCTAGTGGCCCTTAGCTCCTCCTTGTTCAGGTAAGCTGTCTCTATGTACTTCTACCGCATGGTCTTGTCCTCTCCATCTGCTTCTGGGTTCTAGTTTGACTCAGTGTTTATGTATGGGTGTTTGGTGGAGAGGCAATTTCAAGAAAATTTTAAAGAAACCACCCAACACAATGCTGCTGCTGGATCTCCTGCTAGGAATTTAGATATGCTCACGGGCACTGGGCAATATTCTACCCTAGCAGCTCAAATTCTTTTTTGCCCAGTGGTCTATGCACAAATTTCTGTTGCTGCTACTAGACCTTGGAAAGCCCTGCCTAATAAGGCTGCAGGGGATCAACTATCATTATGGAAGAATGTCACTACAGGATAATGGTGTGGCCCTGACCTGGTTCTAGTGTGGGCCCAAGGGTCAGTTTGTGTCTTTCCACAAGATGCAGATAACCCTGTTTAGGTGCCTGAGCATATAGTTCAACCTATGGGAAGAGACCGCGATTGTAGCAGACATAGAGAAGGTCTGATGTGCCTTCATCAAGAATCCACCCATTCTGATGCCCGTGGGTCTGAGTAGCACTATGTGGCCCTTTTCCTGACCACTAATTATAGTTTGGGTAAAGCAGCTATAAAATTACACTTTGGTTCAAAGGATAAGAATTTCACCTTCATTTCAGGCACTTGTGTTCTGGCTCCCTTCTTTTTCATTGTAACTAGTGCTACTAATTTTGGAGGAAGTCTCAATTATTCTCAGCAGGTCTGCCGACTGGTTAGCTACTGCATGTATGAAACAACAGCTATTATGGTTGGCGTACCCAGGGTGATACCTATGCCGAGACCTCCTCTACAGATGACCAACTTGTTCAGCATAGAGGAAAAAGATTTCAGGATCAAGGCTGTGATTGTTATTACCATTGCCTCCTCCACCACTGTAGCAACAGTTACAAGGATAGCCCTCTCCCATTCTGTAAACACTGCAAGCACAGTGGATGAACTATCAGGTGAATTGGCTGAAGCCTTAGCCACCCAAAACACAATTGATAATCTAGTACATATTGGCATTTTAAATTTAAATCTACAAACTAGCGTCCTACAGAAATAGTTTGATTTATTGTAGAGGTCCATAAGGCTTTGTGTTCTCCCTCTTTCATACATATCTGTGTTACACCGGCTAAAGTTAAGAATGCATCAATTGTTACTTTTATCCAGGGGTCTTGGAGTGATCAGTTTTTAAATTATACACATGCTTTAGCCATGCAGATCATTAACATCAATGAAACCTGAGTACCACCTACCAGTGCAGAAGACCTTTTACAAGGACTTCCACTTACTGGCAGATTAATTACAGAAGGGGCAAGCTCTCTCTCCCTGGGGCTTATAGCCCTTACCCTTGGTGCTATCTGCCTGATCTGCCTATGCCACCACAGCATTAGACAGGCCTAGGCCAATATTCAAACAAGACAGATTCTACTGTCTTTAGCTTAAAAGAACGCCTGTGCCCAAGTGTGGCTAAACTTACAGACGGACTAATCACCAGAGACAGGTAAGGCAGAAGGGGGCAAAATATCCAACCTAAGACAGGAGGGTTACAGGCCTGGGTGACCTCTCCCATGATGGGTAAGGAATTATGCTTACATCCTCTGCCACCCAAGACAGGTGTTAGTTTATATTAAAAGAAAGGGGGACCTGTAGAGCTCTTCCAAGGCACCTTGAGCAAGCCTGAGTTGTTTGCTGGAACATTCTGCAGTCTTAGCTGGAACATCTTGCCCCAGAGTTGTTACTGGTACTCTTCTTGATTTGCTAACACACATCTGCTGGGGAGAAACTAAACCCAAGAACTTGCATGCTTGACCCTGGATTGTTTTCCACTATGCTGTGAATCAGTATATAAGCCCACTCCTTCCCCTCAATAAATGGCATTTCGGTATTCCTATTGCACAAATGACCTGCTGTCTTGTCTCTTATTTAAATCTCTAGGCCTTCACCCAATTAGTGGAACAGATTGTAGCACAGGCACTATAATACTTCACCCTTAATGCCAGGAATTTTGGAACTTGCCTGATACATGATCCTTTAGTGTTTTCTAACTAAGAATATGAGGGCACGTAACTCCTTCACAAAGCTTCAGAAATCTCTAAGGCAGTTCTGCCCCAGTAAGGGTGAATTAGTGAAGTTTGTGTTCCTTCATGTTGTCTAATTTCCTCGTTTATCCCTGGCCTGGACTAAAATGAGTAAAATCAATTATCAAATCACCACCAAGTTCCCAGACTCTAAGACCAGCAGTCAGATCCCTGTCATATTCCTCATATCAGTGATGGGCTTGTGTAATATAGACACAGTCATGCTCTGTGAGAACCACAGTCTTGTGTTCCCCTTGTCCTGTTACTCCTGACTCTCATGAGCTGCAACTCCATGCTAATTAGGATCCCAGACTTGAACTTGGTAATTCTCCAGTGCTATCATTTGCCCTAGGATCACACAGTCCATTTTCAGTGGAAAACTCACCTCTGTTTAATCTACAATTATTGTTTGTTTCTAGGCTTAAATGACAGACCCTATCCCATGCCTGTCAGATGCTCTGTCTGCTATCTACTGTTGCTGGCCTCTGTCTCCAGGGCTCTCTGCTTTTTATGGCTTTCCTAGGTGACTGAGTAGTCATCTGGACCCTTTGTTGTACATGGAGAGATAGATATGGTCCTTTCTGAATCCCTGCATATCCCAAGCACTGAAGCAGTATTTATTCTCATGTTTCCAAAAAGGGACTCTCACAGTGGCACTGGCAAGGTTACATCTGCAGGTAAGGAAGAAGCAGCACAGGTGTGTCCCCACAGAACAAGGTGGCCCAAGCCACGCTGCACACCTCCACAGGATGACAGGGTGGCCTAAGCCAGGCTGCACAGACAAAGGATACTTCTGGAATGTGGAGTTATTTCTTAGTCCACCATTTCTCTTCCCTTTGGCCATCCCTGGGGTATCCTGGGATGGTCCCCTTCCTGCAGCAGGTGGTGGCTTTCTTGCAGGCCACTCTCACCTCCAGTGTGATCTGTTACAATCTGATGCTTCATATACAAAACGTGTAAAAAGGGCAACTATCCACATTGTTCAAATGTTCCCTAAGGGAAAGGACAAGGCTGTTTTCCTTGCGGGTGTTCCTCATGGGAGGGGCAGGTGACCTCGTGGGAGCCAGCTGAAGCCTGCCTACAATGGCTTTGCCACCTTCCCAGAGCCGTGTCCTTCCTCTTATCTAGCCAGGTTGGCTGCTTGGTAAGTAGCCACAAGCCCTCTTATTTACCTTCCTTGGTGTTACACGCCGTTTTAGCCCCAGCATTTGTTTAGTGCTAACATTTGTTTCTCCCCTCAACACTTAGAATATCATTTTCTACTGCTCTTCCTAAACAAGGAGGTGAGCAGTATATGAGGTCTAGTCATTTCTAATCTTCCCCAGCAGACATTCCAGGTCCTATTGACCCAATAGGATGGTAATTGCCATTCTCTTCAAAAAAAAAAAAAAAAGTATCTAATTCATTTTCATTTTAAATATGCTGCCTTTTTTTTTTTTTTTTTTTTTTTTTTTTTTTTGGTTTTTCGAGACAAGGTTTCTCTGTAGATTTGGAACCTGTCCTGGAACTCACTCTGTAGACCAAGCTGGCCTCGAACTCACAGAGATCCGCCTGCCTCTACTTCCTGAATGCTGGGATTAAAGGCAAGTGCCACCAATGCCCTGCCTGAAAATATTATTCTTAAAAGACCATAACAAAGAGAAGTGGCTTACCTTACCTTCAGCGACATATGACTCCCCATGTGAGTCTCACAGGTCAGCTCAGGCCTTGGCATCAAGGATGTATCAATGTCGCCCACTTCATCTTTTTTATAGGACAGGAAGCACTTGAGTCTTGCTGTGTTTTCCATCTTGCAACAGTTAGTGAACACATCACTGCCCACCAGCCCTTGGTTGTTGCAAATATATGTGAGGAAGGTAGCAACCTACAGAATGGAGGGTACCATACAGGGGAAGTGTGGGAGACCAGCATTCCCCACCAGGGGAAAGTTAAACTGGGCACACGATGCTGAGCTTTGAGTCCAATAATCTCTGGACACAGAGATTTCAATTTTATTTCTTTATTTATTCTGTGTGTACATGTGTATCCATATACATTTAAGTGAGTGAACATGTATGTACACGTGCATGTGGAGAGGCAGAGGCCAATGCTGGCAATCCTTAACCACTCTCCATCTTATTTCTAAGATGTTTAAGCTACAACTATACTGATGAATCAGTAAGCTCCGGGGACCTGCCTGTTCTGGTCCCTACTGCTGGTACTGTGGAAATGCACCGCTGTGTCTGGCTTGACATGGCTACTATGATATGCATCTACGTCTTCATATGTGTACAACAAGTATTTCACCAATTGAACTATCGTTCCAACCCCAAGGCATGCCTTTTAATTAAATTCTTCTAGGTATCGTTTTACATTCATTTATCTATTATATATGGTGAGGGGAGTGTGCCTTCCAGCAGGTATAGAGGTCAGAGGACACTTGAGGGGGCCGGTTTTGTCCTCCCACCTTATGGATTCCCAGTATCAAACTCAGGTTGTCTAGATTGACAGCTAGTGCTTTTACTAAGCCACCTATTAGGTTTTTAAATCTAAATCCACACATGCTGCTTGTTGACCAGAGAGAATTTACAATTTCCCCCTTTCCTGTGAAGTTGCTTCATACTCAAGGAATTGACAGGCTTTTAAAAAATAATTAGATATACTTCAGAATTTCCAAGGCAAGATATTCTTAAGGAGAACTCTCCACACACACAAAAAGCAACTAATTTGCTCATTTCCTACTAATTTTTACTTTTGTTTCCATGGGAACATATTTTAAGACTTGAACTTTGAGGCAACGCATATTCGTTGTCAAATATTCAACTGGAAATGTAGTCATTTCAATGTTTTCAAATGTTTTTAGGTGGCAGTAAATGTGTGGAGTTAGGTAAACCTCAACTGGAATGTGTGTTCCTATTTGAGGAATAAATACAGAAAAAGTCGTTTTTGAAGCAGAAATTATAAAAGGATTGCTCTAAAGTGAGTATAACCATTGACAGAATCTTCATTTAAAATGTGGATTGATGATATCCCTTCATACACAGAGTCTAAAACACTATGCACAGGCATTAGCCCCAAGAGATGAAGCAGGGAACTCCACAAATAAAGAAGAAAAGTTACTTCTCATTTATATGTTGCATTATTTAGCCTGAAAATAACTAATCCTAAAATCTTTATTCTAAGAGAATGTTAGTGTTAACCAAGAATTCCTCTGTGGGGAGCTCAGGGGAAGTGGGGGGGCAGCGAATGGAGAGAGAAGTAGGAGAAAACGAGGGGGAGGAAAGGAAAACATGTGCGACCAGGAGGATTGAGCCTGGTTAGGAATAGAAGACAGGAAAGAGAAAGAGAGAGACAGAGACAGAGAGAGAACATAAAAGAGGGAGCCAATATTGGTTTGAAGATAAAATTGAACACAAAGAAAGGTCTAGAGAACTACAAGACTGCTCCCAACTAACAATTTGAGCTTCCGTGGAAAGGCTATCATAAATGCCCCTTCCCGGAGAGTGAGATCAACAACTAACTTATCCATGGAGCCCTCAACTAATGCCTGTTAGAAACAGGATCAAACACCCATACATAAACACTGAGTCGAACTAGAACCCAGATGCAGATGGAGAGGACAAGACCATGCGGCAGAAACACATACAGACAGCTTACCTGAACAAGGAGGAGCTAATGGCCACTAGACTGATAGCTGGGAAGCCAGCATGGGACTGACTCAGGCCCCCCTGAATATGGGTCTCAGCCAGAAGGACTGAGCAGTCTAAGGGACCTCAGACAGTGGAGCCAGGATGTATCCCTGGTGCACAAAAGGACTTTGCGAACACATCCCCCATGGAGGGATAACTGCCTTAATCTAGAGACAGGAGAGAAGCCCTAGTCCCTACTTCACATGACCTGTCAGATCTACATGACCCCAACTGGATGGCATTCCCCTACATATGGAATTGGGGTGGGGGGGATGGGAGGGGAGGGTGGTTAGAGTGCATGTGAGAGGGCAGAGAGGGTAAAAGGGAGGGAAAGAGGGAGGGAGAAAGGAACGGATAGAAGGAGAGATGGAGGGAGGGAGAGGGAACTGGGATCAACATGTAAAATAATAAATTAAATTAAAAAAATGCTTTGACTCCAAATTTAAGTTGAAGGACATGTTACTGGGGAAAAGGATTTCTATTTTTGTTTCCACAGAAAATGAAAAGATGTGGATTCCTTCCAGACTAATGTGGTTTGATAAAGCCAGACCGCCTGAAACAGAGTACCAGGTGATCCTACATTCAAAACAGCTGAAAAAAGCAGCCTTACAGACTTCAGCCAGGATTTCTGAATCTTCTTGGAATCCCCCATGACAGCGCCCCTTACCAGCAGGAAGTAGTTTGGAAAGAACACACCCAAATTCCCAAATATTGTCTATAAATGTTTGTTTTCATTTAATGGACTTTGTTATATAAAATAAATTAAAAAAAAAGAATTCCTCTGTGGGTATGATGGGAGATGTCATTCTCTAAATATGTTTCTCTTATTGGTTAATGAATAAAGCTGTTAGCAAGTTACTAGTTTCTTATCAGTTAGCTCTATCTTAATTATTAACCCATTTATATTCATCTAAGTACTTCCACGTGGTCTTATCTTACCAGAGAGAGGGGCCGGCATCCTACCCTGTAGGCCCTCCACCTTGGAACTCCTCCTTACTACTTCCTCTCTCCTCCTAGTCCCACCTATCTTGCTTTCCTATTGGTCAACATTGCTTTATTCATTAACCAATACGAGAAACATATTTACACAATGTCATCTCCCATCAGAGATGGGTATAAGATCATTCATGGCTGAAAATACTTGCTGCCAAGTCTGACAACCTGAGTTAAATCCCTGGGACCCACACAGTCATAGGAGAGAAATAACTCCCAGAAGTTGTCTTCTGACCTCTATGTGTGTCACAAACACATACACACACACACACACACACACAGAATATATATTACATATATATATATATATATGTATTACACACATATATAATTTAAAAACTAAAAACATTTCTCCAGGAATTTCTATTTTATTGAAATTACTGGTAACAAGACCAATAGAGTTTTATAATGAAACAATAATAATGTCCCTTATGTTCTACCTACTGAGAAAAGGATCTGTAAAAATATTGGTTTCTTTTTTGTATTCCTAAATAAACTCTTTTTAATTAATTTCCATTTTAATTTGGTTTCCCAAAGTTCTTTATATGAAGACGTCAGACAGCAGCATTCTGGTGACTCAGGCAAAGCAGCCCATATCCTCAGGTATGTGACTCATTCCCTTGAGTGCTTGGCACTCAGAACCTGAGCTCCCAGAGAGGAACTGGTTAAATGCAGACCTAGAGTCTACAAAGATTATATCTGGCATGTGAGTCATACACATACTCTCGATGTGCCATGTCCTGTCTCATTATTCAAGTAGTCCTGTTTATAGCGACATCTTCTGTTTATCATCTAGCTAAGGCAGGAGAATAAATTCACATACAATCCACCTACCAGTTGGTGAAAACATTCTGCAGGTGACTCATGTGGTCTGAGACTCTTACAGTTTTCAACAAGATCCAGCAACTCTTCAGCAATGGTTTGGACTACTTCATAAGATGCATCCTGAAGAAACTGAGCAACCATAATGCTGGCACTGAAACATAAGGTCTGTGTGAGGAATATGCAAGGACCTGCCCCTTCTTTCTTTGTTGTATTGCCCCGTTCTCCCCAAAGTGATTCCCATCCCAATTTCAAAGAAAAATATATTGCTAGTGAAACACACATGTCTCTTAGGTTCTCCTCTGGGTGATCCTGGCGGTTGCTATGCTGTCTGGCTGGGAAGAAAGGACTTGTTTGGTGCTGTGATTTGGGTGCATTTGCACCCCTGACTTTCATGTGTTGAAATCTTAACCTAAGGTAAGAACCTGTAATAGTCATAAGGATGGCCCTTATCCATGGAATTAGTGTCCTTATAATTGAGGCTCACCAAAGCTCTTTCATTCCTCCTATCATACACGAGCATAGCAAAGAACATATCACATATGAGTGAGACAACAGGTACAAGGCACCAAATATTAGAACCTTCACCTGATGCAGAATCTGCTAGCACTTGGTCTTGTACTTCCCAGCCTCGATCAGGTACTGTATGAACACAACTTCTGATGTTTATAATTCCCCCCACCTTGTAGTGTTTTGGTACAGTGGCTCAAAGGAACTAAGACATTTGTGAAACAGGAAATTTCCAAGATTGAGAACCCCCTTTAAATTCTACAATCTCTGTTATTCACTTGCAGATTTCTAGATTTATTTTCATTAGCTGAATGATAAGAACGATTTAACAGTATATATCTTCCTTTGAATTTAAACTGTCTCTTGTCAATGACTTTTTAAATATTCAAATATAGCTGGACTCTATCAGTGATTACAAGTAAATTACATGTAGTTTGATTCTAAGTTATCGATTAGGGCTTGAGAAAATGGCTCGGTTGGTAAAGTTCTTGCCTTTTAAGCACAAAAGCCTGAGTTCAATCTCCAAAACCCAAAAAAAAAAAAAAAAAAAAAAAAAAAAAAAGCTATGCATGGTGGTGCAAGCTGGCAATCCCATCTCTGATAGATCCCTGAGGCTTACAAGCTAGCTGGTCTACCCTGAGCCAATCAAAAACCAAATGAAACAAAATGACACCAATAGACATGAGAGGGGGGGAAGCTCATGAGGTCATAACCCTAGATAAAGGAACGCTGAAGGCAGCAGAAATACTTCCCCAGGGAAGCACACACCAATAGGTTATCCAATACCACATGGTCAACCCTAGAGACATACACATACAGATAACATTATACTGACTGAAACACACACACACACACACACACACACACACACACACACACACACATGCTTTCTTGAAGAAAAAGAGGCCATGAATTTGAAGGAAAGTGAGTGGAATCACATGGGAGGGTTTGGAATGAAGAAATGATGTAATTGTATTATAATCTCAAGAAATGAAAAGAATTAAAAATCAAGATGGATGGCATCGGAAGCACACATATACACACACACAATTACCTTCTGTTCTGCACATGCACACAGACACACAATCGTTCTGTGTGATGGATATCTCACTACAGTTCTGAGTTCTTTAAATTTAATAATTTGGTTGAACTCTTCAATTAATATGTTCATTAAAAGCTATTAGCACATGCAAAAATAAATGTCAGCCCTTGAGAGTAAAAATCCCAAACATCAACAATGTGTGGGTCTTAATTTGGCAAAGAAAGTGTTTCCCACACTTTGTATTGCTCATCATCCACTCATCACATATGGGTATACATCACAATAGAGCCATGTCTTCCTTCTTACACTAAGGGTGTCAAAGGAACTAACTAAGCAGCTTTCTGGTAAGTAAACAATCATTAGCAATTACCATTGCAGCACAAACTAAAGGTTCTAGAGGCAGGTCTTCAGATTTCAACTTCTATTTATAGAAAGTAGAAAGAAAATGAACTCTTTGCATTTATGTATGAAATAAATTTTAGTGCTTTGGTTGGATACAAAGATTAAATGAGGGGCTGGGAAGATGGCTCAGTCAGGAAAGTATTTGCCATACAACTATAAGGATATGAAGTCAGGTCCCAACAACCCATTTAAAAAGCCCAGCAGAGTGGCATGCACCTGTTATCTCATTGCTAGGGGTAGTAGGGCAGGAGGATCCCTGGAGCTCACTGGTCAGACAGTCTAGCCAATCAGTGAGCTCCAAGTTCAGTGAGTGATCCTGTCTCAAAAAAAAACCAAAACTAAGTAAGCTTGAGGAGCAACTGAAGAGGACGCCCGATGTCAACCTCCAGCCTCTGCATACACATGCACATATGTACACAAATACATATGCATAAGAGCATACCACACTACACACACACCATAAATGAAAATGTGTAAAGTCCTGAACATATTGCCTTGTGATAATAAACATCAAATAAGGTAGCCTCTATTATTATTTCTGCAGTCATTTACATTTTTGCTCTATTCATATTTACTTAGCACATTTCAGACACTGGCTTGAATATAGTATTCTCTCACCTAGAATGGAAGCAAAGACTAAGTTTAAGTGAGATGCTTCCAGATGAGTGGCCTCAATGTATTAGCCCTTTCTGTCGTCATTCCACACTCTAACGTCTATCAAATTTCAATGACTCTTTTGACAGTGATGGCCACTGAGAAAGATAAGCCTTTCCACACACAGGGTAATAGCTGTCATGGTTACTCATCATATCCTTGCATATAGGCTACCCACACTGTAGATGGATTCCCTACCTGCGTGTAGTAAACTTCTTTGAAGAGGCTCACATTTAATGTAGCTGAAGAAAACAATAAGAGATAGAGTTTTAATAATCTCCATTGTTTCAAACGAAGTTCCACCATTTGAGAGAAATGAAGACTTTATATTCTTTTCAAGCAATTATAATTAACCATTAACTTTTCGAGTGAGCAATTTTTTTTCTCTTAATGCTCCCATAGATTCTCATAAAGTTGAAGAAATTCAGGACAATGAAGAAATATTGGTGTTCATTAACAAGTACAAGATTCTAAAACAGATAATGTGGACCTACAATTTGTTCAAGATTACAACACACAGGACTTGTAATAAAAATTGATCAGTGTGTTTGGTAAATACCAGTCTACAGTATCCCATTTCATAGAAAAGTGTGTTTACATGTACAAAGTTCAAAAGAGGCACAGAGAAAGCAAACATGTATACCCCTGGTCAGATAAGTGGTCAGAACTCAGGTGACAATGTTGGGCACACTTCCAGGACCCTGGAGAGAGGAGTAGCAAGCGCAGGCACTGCCATCAAACACAAAGGCATGGCACCTATTACTGAATGCTGACAGTCAGTCTGGACAACACAAGACTTTCACTCACATGACATTATCATTGCCTGAATGGGAAATGAAAATCAATTTTTACCATGTACACATGGATTCACAGATAACATTTCAGATCTATCTACATTTAGAGCCTACACACCAAAGAGCTGCACAATCTGAAGTCTTTCTATCACCACCTGTTTTGCTGTTCATCCAGTTCTTAGGTCAAGGGCAAAAGAACTGGTAGCTGATTAAGTAAAGAGAAAGTCTTGGAACATATGAACTTCAGAATGCCAAAAAGAGGAGACTGCTGGTTGTTATTTTAGCCTTTCCTACCTTTAGTTTCCTCATTTATAAAATGTGAACCACTTGGGCAGGTGAAAATTAAGTTTGCTCCAAGAAAGTCTCAATGTGAGAAACACATTGAACAGAAAAGAACTCAATGATGTCTTGAGTGTGTTGGAAGGATCCTTGTTTCATAATGTTACACTAGAACTTTTTAAAACATTTTATCTTATTTTAATTTTTAAATTTTATTTGTATATAGTTTCTCTCTTTTTACCATACACGTCCTTTGGGTATATGCCATGGCTTCCAGGTTAGTGTTTTTATGGAATTCCTAGGAGTGTAGACTAATGGGTTTGTTTCTCATGCATTTTCTTGAGCTCCTTTTCTTCTGTTTATTTGTTGTTTGTCCTATTCTGATATGTTAGTTTTTGACTTGTCTTATTATACTTAATTATTAACCTTTAAAAGCCTGTTTGCTGTTTGTTTGTATTGTTGTTGTTTTTGTTGTTTTGGTTTTGGTTTTATGAGATATGATTTCTCTGTATGGTTTTGGAGCCTGTCCTGGAACTAGCTCTGTGGACCAGGCTGGCCTTGAACTCACTGAGATTCTCCTGCCTCTGTCTTCCAAGTTTTGAGGGCAGACATGAAGCACTAGCTGTAGTTTTGAAGTCAGAGGAGTTAGGACTGTGAAGCTCAGCACACTTTCCGACATTTCTGTTAAACATCCACAGCTCTGGCCGAGCAGGGCTTTTGGTGTGGAACACAAAGAAAACTGTCTCGCTACTTCTGATATTGTAAACATTCCTTGGGCTCTCTGAATACAACATTAAAAGAAACTTTTAAATGTATATTTTATTGCATGTGTTTACATATGTGTATGGGCACATGTGTATGGAGGTCAAAGAAAAACCTGTGGGAGTTGATTCTCTCCCTCCACCATCTGGGTCCCAGAGACTGAACTCGGGTCATTAGGCTTTTACTCACAGAGTCATTGTGCCACCCCGAATAAAGATTTCTAATGTACACCACATGGCTAAACCTATAAAGTGATATTCACAATGTTGTTCTGCAATCAGAAGACACAGCCTTGGTTCTTTGTTGTCACTGACTAGTTGATTATCATTGAGTAAATTAGTTCCTCTCCCCAAACCTCAGGCCTCTATAAAATGAGAATGAAAATATGTACTCTGAGAACTGTTTGAACTAAATGGGGCAATTCACATAAAACATTTGAAGCAGTGTTTGCACATCCCATAGAAGCTGGCTGTGAGTGATACCCAGAGTGTGCTCTTGTGGGTTCATACCCTTATCTCCCCAGTTTCTTCTCTCAATGGCAACAGCAGGACCCAGTAATATTCTTCCCATACAGGGAAGAGTTCTGACCTCCACTGAGTAAGAAAAGTTCAGTGAAAAGTTCCAAGTGTAATATTCAAAATAAAGTGTAAACTGTGTGCGTGTGTGTAGGTGTGTGTGTGTGTAGGTGTGTATGTGTGTGTGTAAAAGCACATATGTATGAAGACACAGGTGAACCTATGTACTCCATCATGTCAGCCTCAGGTACTGTTCCTCAGGATCTGTCCACATTGTTCTTTAAGACAGGTATATAACATGAGTTCTAGTAGTTCTTAGTGATAAAAACCTGGAGTCAGATACTAAAGGGTTAAAACTGAAAGATCAGAGAAGCAGAGCAGTCAGTCACTAAAGCTCTAACCTCTGCCAAATCCTCAGTTCAAAAAGAGAGGAAGCTCCTGTCTTCACCCAGCCATCTCACTTCCTGTTTATCTGTTCAGACCTCCAGACCTGTATGGTTAGCTAGTAGCCAGTTCCACCCTCTGATCTTCAGGCAAGCTTAATTTGTTAGAGTATAAACAAGATATCACTACAAACGCTGTCTAACCAGGAAATTCAAGGTACTTGCCTATCTCTGTTCCCTCCCCCAGGGTTTCCATTAAAAGTGCACACCAAGATGCCCGACTTTTTGTGTGGATACTGGGGATCAAATTCAGGTGCCTATGACTGAACAGTGTGGGTGGCTAGTCTCAGTTGTCAACATGACACACCTGAGAAGAGGAAATCTCCATTGAGAAATTGTCTCCACCAGATCGGCACTTCCTGGATTGGTGATTGATGTAGAAGGACCCAGCACATTGTGAGTGGTATGATCCTTGAACAAGTCAACCTGGACTCTATGAGAAAAGTTAGTGAATGTGAGCCTGAAAGCAAGACAGTAAGGACTGTCCTTCCATGATCTCTTCTTCAGTTCCTGTCTCCAGGTTCCTGTCTTTAGTTCCTGCCTTGGCTACACTTGATGATGGATGGCCCTTTAAGGTAAGGTAAAATAAGCCTTTTCTCTCCCAAGTCACTTTCAGTTATGGTGTCTCACAGCAATGGAAACCAAGTCATGATTCATGACAATCACTTAGCTGACTGCAACACAATCGATTAATTCTGTGATCAGATTGATAGATGACATTGGTCTTCAAGGTAACATTATACTTTCATTTTATTAACTGTAGTTACGTGATTCCAGTAAAGGTTCTAGAATCTTCTGTCCCATTATAGCTGAACCTCACCACAGGATGGAGAGGGAGTCTGTGAGAATTTACGGCTGAAAAGAAAAAAAAATTATTCAGTGAAAGAACATGAACTCAGGAAAAAGACATATATTTAATAAGACTCTACTAATGTGAACTGTGAGCTATACACAGAGTTGTGAAACAGCCCTCTCCTGGGTTCAGGTCCCTCTCTCCTGACACTGGGAATCATTGCTAGTTGGTGTCATGAGTCATATGTAAACTACAGGGAAAGGAACAACCTTCATGAATACTCTCTGAAAACATACTCATTGCAAACATATGTGCATTTATGCCAACATGCTCGCGTATGTTGACCTTGCCTCAGTGCAGTGATTTTCGGTGAGACCCTCAAGAAACTTGTGGAAGATTACTGGGGCAGTCTGTGTGGTCCTCCCTGAGAATTTAGCACTTTTCTTCCCTCTGGCACCTTAGTTCTTTGAGGTACTGTCTCACTCTATAGCCCTGGTTGGAACATGCATCCATCCCATTGGCCCAGCATCCCAAGTGCTGTGATTACAGAAATGTGCTACCTCACCAGAGTTACCATTCCAGAGACCCCACTGTCTCTCCTTTATGAATTAAACAAAAGAATGCAGAAAAGCAGGGATGTGGGTGCCTTTGGGCTATTCAGAAACTGAATAGTCCTGGCATGATACAGCATTCCTGCCCTGCGTATAATGATTGGTAACCAGAGAAACACACAGGACCTGAGCTGGGCACCATGAGCTCTTAGGTGTGTGGGCCAAATCAGAAACAGACTTTTGAAACATGAGAAGAAATAAATAAGCCATGGAAGCTGATCATCACAACAGGTTTGGACATTTGACTGAGATAGAAATGTTTACCTCTGGTATTTTATCATTTCTATTAGCAGCTCCACTTTCATTATCAATATTTGAACCCTGGGAGAGAGAGAAAAAGAAATAAAATCATAGGAATAAAAGTTTGAGGTAGACATGTTTAAATTGAGGGGAGCACATTCATCTGAATTTTGAATGAAGATAGAGATCACACACATGTACACACACAGAGAGGGAGGGAAGGGAAGGAGAGAGAGAGAATATCCTTCGAGTAAGCTTGGGAAAAGACACTGAAGTCTTTTTATGTCCTACAAATAAATTCATCTCTTTTTTTATACAGTCCTTGAGTACACACTTGAGCAAATGCTAGATGGAGGTTAATATCCTCTAATGAAAGTAAATATATTTTTAGCAAACTAATACTTTATTGTTGTATTTCCAAAGACTGCCACTCAGCAAAATAAAGGAGTCTCGAGTAGGATGAAATATGTGTTTAATGTGTGTGCCTGCAAGTGTGCATGAGTGTACATGAGTGTGCGTGAACTGTGAGTTGCGAAGTACACCATGAGCTGCTGGGAAAGAAGTAAAGAGAAAGGAAGTTGGAGACTTCATCACACCATCCACAAAGCCATCCACTGGGGCTGACACTCACAGGACCAGATTCACACCACAGCAGGATACTACAGATGCCACAGACACAGTAGTAAGAGGAGCAGGGCCAGCTCCCTGCTCTTCAGGGCTCCCTCACCCTCACTCCTCCATGTACTGTCAACTGAGTGACCTTGGGAAGATCAGCTGCCTTAAAAGCCTTTCTTTCCTAGTGCTCTTCTTGCTCTTCTCCCTTCCCAGCTGAGGAAGACTTCCTTG